CTCCTCCTCCGCTGCCGAGGAGTGGGGCAGAAAGCGACCACGTGCTCGTCTCCACGATGGCCTCTAAGCTGCTCGCGTTCATTGTTTTCGCCCTTGCTGCCCAAGTGGTCGTCGGGCCACCTGTGGGCGCTCCTGGTGTGATGACTAGCCCCTCCAGCGGGCGCCCCAATTCCAATGAACTGCGACATGCACTGCAGTTCCTGGGTCTGCTCGCTGCTACCACGGCTGCGGCTTTCAGGACGTGGGGGGTGAATGGGGGCCTGCGGGCGAAATCGGGGTGGAGTACAGAAACCGCGCGAAGCTGGAGTAATCTCCCCCCCCCTCCCCTCCCCCTCCCCTCCCCCTCCCCCTCCCCCTCCCCTCTCCCTTCCCCTCCCCTCCCCCCCATCCCCCCCCCTCTCCCTTCCTTTCCCCCTTCAGGAGCGGCGCAGAGGACAGTGTGAAGCGGCGCGCTTTGGCCAAACACCGCCCTGACGCGCCGGGTGGTTCGCGCGAGTTTTTTTTTAAAGCGCAGCGATGCTGGGACATCCTCGCTACCACTTTCGGTGGTGCCGCAGCGGAGCTGCAGCTTGGGGCGCCCGCCCCTCTCTGGGAGGAGGAAAACAGTACAGATCCAGCTCTCTTGGCCCTCCTCCCCCCCCCTCGTCCTCGAGACGGGGGGGGGGGGGGAGGAGGGCCAAGAGAGCTGGATCTGTACTCTTTACCTCCTCCCACGTTCCCGAGCGCCTCGGCTTCCTCGGCCGTGGTGCGTTATGCCTCTTCCTCGTCTTCCTCGGCCGTGGTGGAGCAGCTCAGCGATGTGGAGCAGCTCAGCGATCTGGCGCGAGGCATGCACGACGTGCTATGCACATGCTCTCTGTGTATTCCCCTGCTTAACGCGTGCGCGCGTTGCAGGGCCTGCTAAGAGCATCGCGGAGCAGCAGGCCATGTTTGCGGCATCTTCGGCACACTGCGCACGCTCTGCAAGCGTGCGCAGTGGGGCCGGCGGATGTTCCTGTTGCGCGAGATCGCTCACTTCGGCATCACTGAACCCGAAGCCGACCTGCGTTGGGAGGCGCAGCTCGCAGAGGTGGGTGTTTGGGAGGCCGCAGTGGCAAAAGCCGCTGCCCAGAGGGATCGCGAGCTAGCGCGCCAAGAGCGCGATGAGTCCCGCGCTCGCATGGCCCAGCATCGCGAGCACACCAGGCGCGAGGCGGAGGCGCTGATGGCTACTCCGCCTAGGCGCCGCGTCCAGGGCACTGCTGCGTCCCCGGCTGCCGCATCTCCGCCTTCTGCGTCGTCTCCCATCGCATCTGCGCCTCCTGCGCCGCCTCCCATGAACGCGCCGCCTGCGAGCGCCGACGCCCCTCAGCAGACAACGCCAGGGGTCGACACCAGGCCGAGCGTGCGCGAGCATCAGCGCTCGTGCTTCATCCATGGCCACAGGATGATATACTCCATCACCGTAGCCAGGCCGCACTGTTTCACGTTCAGATGCCCGCGGGCCGATTGCACGCAGATCTTCCAGATGCGCCGGGACAGGTTCTCCGACGGAGACCTTCCCGTGCCGTAGGTGGGAGGGGGGGGGGGCAGGTCTCCTCATCAAGCTGAGGGTGCCGCGAGGTGTCGGCGCCAGGTGCCGCAGCCTGGGGCGGTGGGAGCAGGGAGGAGGAGGAGGAGGAGGAGGAGGAGGAGGAGGAGGAGGAGGAGGGGAGGGGGAGGGGAGGGGGAGGGGGAGGGGAAGGGGGAGGGAGGGGGAGGAGGAGGGAGGAGGAGGAGGAGGAGGAGGAGGGAAGCTGAAGTGCTTGATGCAGCCAATGGCGGGGCCCTTCTATAAAGGCGAAGCAAAAAAAAATAGCCCGCCGCAGGCGCGAAATTGTTTAATTTGCGTTTTGTCTTGCCATTCCTGCTCCCCAGGGGCTCCTCAGACGATGTTGAGGATTCGGCGATGTTGAGGATTCGGCAGGGCGCGCAGGATTCTGCAGGGTGCGCAGGATTCGGCAGGGTGCGCAGGGTTCGGCAGGCTCCCCAGAGGCTCCTCAGACGGTGCGCAGGGTGCACAGGATTCGGCAGGGTGCGCAGGGTTCGGCAGGGCAGCAGGGCTAGGCGCGGCGCAGCAGGCGGCTTTAATTTGCGGCGCGCGGCTGGGCTGGGCGCGGCTCAGGCTGGGCGCGGCGCAAGCTCGGTTCGGGCTAGGCTCGGCTAAGCGCAAGCTAGGCTAAGCGCAGGCTCGGACAGGGCGCGCAGGGCGCGCAGGGTGCGCAGGGCGCGCAGGGCGCACAGGGTTCCCCCAACGGAGAGAGAGATGATGATGATGACGCTGATGATGATGATGATGATGATGCTGATGATGCTGATGATGCTGCTGATGATGATGATGCTGATGATGATGATGATGAGCTCTATGAAATCTCCGTAGGAGAAGGCGCGCAGCGAAAACGCCCAGTGGGCCCCCCGCGCGTAGCGCGGGGGCGGGGCCCCTCTATAAAGGCGAAGCAAAACAAAAAATAGCCCGCCGCAGGCGCGAAATTTCTTAATTTGTGTTTTTTCTTGCCACTCCTGCTCCCCAGGGGCTCCTCAGACGATGTTGAGGATTCGGCGATGTTGAGGATTCGGCAGGGCGCGCAGGATTCTGCAGGGTGCGCAGGATTTGGCAGGGTGCGCAGGGTTCGGCAGGCTCGCCAGAGGCTCCTCAGACGGTGCGCAGGGTGCACAGGATTCGGCAGGGTTCGGCAGGGCAGCAGGGCTAGGCGCGGCGCAGCAGGCGGCTTTAATTTGCGGCGCGTGGCTGGGCTGGGCGCGGCTCAGGCTGGGCGCGGCGCAAGCTCGGTTCGGGCTAGGCTTGGCTAAGCGCAAGCTAGGCTAAGCGCAGGCTCGGACATGGACGACGACGACAACGACGACGACGACGATGATGATGATGAGGATGATGATGATGATGATGATGACGATGGGAAGCGGGAATTGCAATTAGAGACAGACCAGAGACAGGAGGAGGGAGAGCAAGAGCAGGATTGCCAGCAGGAGAACAACATCAGCGACGCCAGGCTGAGGAGGTGGAGGAGGAGGAGGAGGACAGAAGACGAAGGGGAGGCGATAAGTGAGGAGCACAATGGTCATCATGATGAGGAAGGAGGAGGGGTGGGGTAATACCTCCGTCCCCTTCGCCTGGAGCCCAACTTCGGCAGCGTTTGGCTCAAGTTATGGCGACGTGGACGTTGACGATAAAGAACGCGAAACTAAAAGAGGCTAAGATCACAATCAAGCCCAGCGCCACAGGGGCCGACCTGCTCCATGCGATCGCTGCGCAGCGGCGCTGGACTGTGAGTGGGCTTACTCGGAAGCCGGAGGCGCTGGGTAGTTACAGAATTACCGCACGCTAAACAGAAAAATGGTTTCCAAGCGTTCCGTGTCAGTTTGGCCCCCACCACTGAGCATCTCGAGGTCTTACGCTTGACGGGGTTCTCGGACCACGCGCCCAAGAGGCTAAGCCCACAACGATTCATTAAGGTTGCGAGCCCAACGCTGTTGCACCACAGCCGCCAAGCGGCGAGCTTTTCATTCCTCTCTAGGCAACCAGCGAGCGCGGCAAGCCCTTGGACTTGGCCGCGCCCCTCTCCACGACAGCGCAGGGCGGCGACTGTCTGAGAGCGCAGCGGGCGCCGCGAAGGAGTTGAACGGGACCGGCGCCGCGAGTGGCAGTAGTTCGACGGCTCCCCCCGCGTGTTGGCGTCGCCAGGGCGATGGCGAGCGGCCCGCTACGCCGCGCCTTGGCGGCGGCGACCAGCGGGGCGAGCGCCCGAACTGTATTTCTGTTCTTCGTGCGCGCCGGACAGGAAGTCCCAGTCGCGCTCGCGGACGCCACCGGCCAGGTCTCCCTCCACGAAAAGAAGCCCGGCAGCTAGCCGGAAAGGCTCACGGAGCTCCTCCAGCAGCTCCGACTCCAGCAGCTCCGACTCCAGCAAGACGCGCGCGGCGGCGGCCGCGCCCCCGAACGAGTCGGCAGCCGCCCCGAGCGCAGTCGCAGCACCGGAGCCTGGCGGAGCGCTGGCAGACAGACGCCCGGTGCCGAAGCCGCCAGCAGCCCGCGGGGCAGGGCCCGCAGCCGCTGGGACAGCAAGCGCTGGGCCGGCTGCGACGGAGACAAGGTGCGGGGGTGGCGCGATCCCGCCGGCGAACGCAGGGGTCAGGGAGTCGGGCGAGCGACAGACTCCGCTGCAGCGACCACCCGTTGTAGTTCCAACTGAAGCAGGCCGTTCCAGCGGTGCCAGGCGCTCGCACCGATGGTCTGGCCTCTGCGTTCAACGGCGGGGCCCGGCCCACCTCCGCTATGCCGCAGGGTTGAGCGCGAGCTGCAGCCGGCGGCCGAGCAGGTGGAGATTCTCCAGGAGAGAGTCGCCACCGCCGAGACGAGGCCCGCGAGCTCTGCCGATGCTGGAACCGCGCGCGGCGAGAGACGCCCGACAGCTGGGCGCGCGCGCTCCGGTCAGAGCGGTGTGTCGCGTCGATGCGCGACGGAGCGCGCGCGCGACACCGGTGCGCGCGCCTTGCGTCGGGCGTCTCTTGTCCAGCGCCGGCGGTTCGCAGGCATCATGATAGCCGTCGCGAATGAGGCTGCAGCGCGCCCTGGACGACCTCGCCGCCGCGCAGAAGGAGGCCAGGGACTACAAGAGGAAGGCCGACGCGTGGGAGATCTTTTACCACGGAGGCGTCCACCCGGTGGACGGCGCGCTGTGGTCGGGGCGCAAGGAGATCCTGCAGCAAGCGCAGATCCAGGTGCTCGAGGCGAACCAGGCCATTGGGTGTCAGACACGCGGCGCGCATCTCGAGCGCGAGGCGCGGCTCCACACCCAGAGCCACGGCGCCCCGCGCGCAGGAAGCGCGCCGCCGACGCCGAGTGGCGGAGGCCCTCCACGAGAAGAACGCGCAGCTGCAGCAGGAGCTCAACGACGCGAGGATGAAGGCCGAGAAGTGTTAGACCCCGCGAGGGACATGCAAGCGCCGCTACTTTGTTGCAGGCGGGGCGCTCTGCTTGCGAGCTCAGGTGGAGGTCGCGCGCGCGGTAGCGTGCGCGCGAGGACGCGCCGTCACCCGCGAACCCGTCGGCGGCTTCTCAAGCTGTCGGGGCCGCGTGGTCTCGCGCGCGGAACTCCCCCGCACTGCAGCGAGGGGCGCGCTTGCATTTTCCTCCGGGAATACCTGCTCCGGGCGACGCGCCCAAGCGGAGGCGAAGGGCAAGGGCAAGGGCGAGAAAACGGACGGCGAGCCGGCGGCCGGGAAGACCAGCGCCCAGGCTACCCTAGAGAACATCTCAACAGCCCGCCACTCCCCCCACCGCTCACCCACCCGCAGCATCCGCTACAGGCAAGCGTGAGTTTTCGCCATCGTATATTTTGGTATAGCGCCTCAGGGGGTCGGGAGATTTGCATGCTGGGACGCGCGCGGCATCGCGCCGGCGCACGCAGCGTCTGCGCGCGGGCGCATCTGAACGGATTTGGGTCGGGAGATTTCCTCCGCCATTGGGCCGCTGCGCTCTCTTGCAGCGCCTCGGTCGTGCCATGCGTGCTCTGTGGAAGGTGTGCGTATGCGTTTACGTGTGCACGCGCGTATAGTGCATGCATACGTATAATTTGTAGATATGTATACAGGTCTGGGCATGTCAGGAAGGTGGCACGGCACATGTGGTACGTAGCAGACAGGGTTGTGCAGCAGTCGTCGGTAAGGTGGGGTGTGTGCAGGGAGGCCAGGCCATGCGTCTCCCTGCCCGATCGCAGGACTGCAGACGCACCAGATCACTCCCGACCCGCAGCAGATGAGCATCCTGAACGCCGTCGCCGACAGGTGCGTCCAGGAAGCGAGCGAGCAGGACCAGCCGCGCGGATCGCCATGCTCCAGGCTGTTCGTCCTCGGCCTGCCGGGTTCAGGGAAATCGGAGGTCATCCGGCGGCTGTGCGACGAGGAAGTGGGGTTGTTCCCCACGTGCATGGGCTGGGAGCACGAGGTGCACTTCATGAAGACGGCTCCGATGAATTCCATGGCGAGCAACATCGGTGGGCGGACCATACACAACTTCAGCAAGCTCGGGATCGACCTCATCACGGGAGTCCAGTCCGGCGGGAAGAAGGACCCAGAGTTGTCGGAGAACTTGCTGCACACGAAAATCCAGCACATGCGCTGGCTCATCATCGACGAGGTGGAGAACGTTTACGTGGAGCTGCTGGACGCCGTGCACAGGCAGGTGCAGGACTCGACGAGGGACAGGGGAAACCCTTGGGCCGTGGACGCGCGCGTCCCCAAACAGTTCGCCATGTTCGGAGGGCTCAACCTAGTGCTGCTCGGGGACTTATGGCAGATCCCGCCCGTCAGGAGTCTCAGTATTGCCGCCAATCCATTTGTCAAGAGACCCGCCAACGTCGGGCGCGTACTGGAGATGTTCTGGACAGAGGGCTTGCCGCACTCGGCAACTCACCGGTACGCACTGAGCCAGTCGCACCGCTGCTCAGACCCCTGGTGGAGGAGCTTCCTTGCAGAAGCGCGCGCTGGGGATCTGTCGGACAGGATGTACGATTTCGTCCACGTCTTTCCCACTGATGTGCACGGCTCCTGGATGCCCGCAAGCCCCGGCAGCGCCGAGGCCTCGACGGGGCACCTCGGCTGCGGGAAGGCGAAGTGCCGCACGCTCTGGTCAGTTGAGTGGCCACGGATGTTCGGAGAGGGTCGGCCATGGGAGGACATGAAGTCCCTGGAGTGCGCTGATTGCAGCGCGGAGCGCCGTCGGCGCTGCCGCGTCGCCTCTCAGAGCGATGCCAGACAGCGGGAGGTGAGGACGGCGTTCGCGGACGCGCTGTTCGTGCACCCGTACAACGCCCCGAATGCGGCAGCCAATGCTGGGAAGCAGCTCCTCTGGGTGGTGGCGCGCGATGTCCCCCTCACTCGGGGCGACGCATGCAGGTCGAAGGAGTCGCTCGCCCACGCCAGGCAGAATTGGCTCATGTACCCCGAGAACAAGACTGGCGGAGTTCCGGGTGTGCTTCCGATCTTCCAAGGGATGCGGGCGCGGTTCACCACGACGGAGAATGCGGAGGCGGGAGCCTGCAAGCATTCCTGGGGGACCGTGACGGGCTGGGCCCTCCACCCCGACGACTCGAAGTTGGTGAAAGAGCACAGGTCCGAGCCGGAGTTGGTCCTGCAGCACGTGCCCGAGGCGATCATGGTGCAAATTCCCGGGAACACGTCGCCCCGCTTTGGGAATCAGCCCGCGGGTGTCTTCCCCGTGAAGGTGAAGGAGGTGTCCTGGGATCGTAGTCCCGGCTTCAAGGCCATGGTGAAGCGTGTGGGGTTCCCGCTGGTCCCGCATTTCGCCGCCACGGCCCGCTGCGTCACCGGCGCCACGCTGCCGCAGGCCATCATCGACCTCCTGGACGCGCGCACGACGCCCCGTTCGTCCATGGTCCCCACGGGCTACGTGGCCATCAGCCGCACCAGGAGGGCTGACGACCTGATCATCACGCAGCCCTTTTCGCCAATGCTTTTCCGCCAGGGGCGCCAGACTGGCCCGTGGCTCCTGCACTCCATGACAGCCGGGGAGTTGACGATGGAACAGGCGAAAGCCGGCTGGGCCAAGGCAGAGAAGGAGGCGGCTTCCAAGTCTTCCAAGAAGTTGGTGGACGCCACGTTCCAGTGCGGCGACTGCCACAAGCGAAAGAGAGCGGGAAACTTCCCGGGCAGTGGCATCAAAACGAGCGATCCTGTGGAGCATGCCGTGGCGGTGCTGGGCCAGGGCGCTTGGAGGAGGTGCGCCCTCTGCGCGCAGAAGCCGGCCCCTGCGTCGGGCGCAGCTGGCGCAGCAAGCGCAGCAGCAGCGCCGCTCAGCTGGAAAGGAACAGACGCGCTCGTCTGCAATCGCTGCAAGGAGCCCAAACCATTGAAGAATTTCCGACGCAGCGAGGTGAATGATTTGACAGGCAGAGGGGAGCTGGATCTCGCCGTGTGCGTCGCTTGCACCCCCGAGAGGCAGCATTTCAACGTTCTGTCGGAGGGTCGCCTTTTCAAGTGTCGTATATGCTTGCGCGACAAGGCCGTGGAGCTGTTTGATGCAGTTTTTTTAGAAATGCACAAGAGCGTCAAAGACGCCGCGTGCACAGAATGCCTTGACGAAAAATGGAAGCCCCTCTGCAAGGGAGGCTGCGGAGCAAGGCCTCCAGAACGCTTGACGTACAGCACCGGTTTCTGGTGCGAGTCTTGCAAATTTCCGCCGTGCGCAAGATGTGGCTCGACTCCGCGGCCGAAAACGGCCAAGTGCAGAGTCTGGAATATGAAAGAGTGGACCTGCGCTCCGTGCCGGGGGCAGGGGCCGCTGCATTGCGCGCGTTGCTGTCAGAGGGTCCCGCGAGAAACATGTCATTCCTCCAATCGCGGCAGCGCAGGCCTTCTTTGCCCCGCCTGCCAGAAGCCATAGTGCGCACTCGGGAGACCGGCGTCTCCTGTCGCCCTGGACCTCTGGAATGCCACATGCTCCGTCTCGCTCTTCGCGCTTTTCTCACCTTGTCCCAAACGTCGCTTTGAATCGGCGAATTCGCGGCGTGCTGTGCCTGCGCTGTCCGCGGCATCTATGCGCCCCCGCTGCCGGGCCGATGTCTGCAACAAGAGGGAACGCGCGCGAGCCCCCAGCGACAGCCCCCACGAAAAAGAGCACGCAAAGACGAGACGTGCTGGTTGGGCGTTGGCTGGTTTGCCCTGCTCGTCCGAGCACTCGCAGTGAGTGGGGTCGTGGTTGGGCGTACTGGAAGCTAATCGGAGCCCTCGAGGAGGCTTCTGGGTGGCTTTTTCGGGGCCTCAGAGGGCTTCTTGAATGCGCCCCTGCGTCTTCTTGAGGCCTCTTGGGGGCGTCGTGGGCCGTCCTGGGGCGCTCGTGCGCCGTCTGGCCCCGTCGGAGGCCGTCTTTGTTGCATTGTGCGGATTGGGGCGTTCGTGCGCCGTCTGGCCCCGTCGGAGGCCGTCTTTGTTGCATTGTGCGGATCTCTTGGGGTCCTCTTCGGCTGTCGTCGGGGCTTCTTGGACCGTTTTGGCAGGTGGCCGTTCAGTCCAGTCGTTGTGGGGCCTTTTGGGGGCCTCTTGGGGGCCTCCTGGGGGCTGCTTGGGCGCTTCTTGTGGGCTTTATGGGGGCCTCTTGGGGCCTCTTGGGCCCTCCTGGGGGCGTCTTCGGCCGTCTTGGGGGCGCTTTTGCGCCATGTCGCCCCTTCGGAGGCCGTTTTGGAGGCCTCTTGCGACCGCCTTGGGGCCCTCTTGGGGTCTTCTGGAGCCGTCTTGGAGGCCCCTTGGACCGTCTCTGGGGCCTCTTTGGACCGTCTCTGGGGCCTCTTTGGGCCGTGTTGGGGTCCTCCTGGGCAGTTGTTTTGCCTTCTCGGGGGTTTCTCGACCCGTTTCGGGACGATTTTGCAAGCTGTTTGGGCCGCCCTGGGCCTCTGAGGGTCGAAAGAAGCGAGAACGCCAAAATCTTCAAAACCCTATGGGAAATCGATCATTTTGGCTTCTGGAGGCGCTCCTGGGGGTCCTATTGGGGCCCTCTTGGGGCGTCTTGGGAGTTTGTTGGGCCCTCTTGGGGCCATCTTGGTCCGTCCTGGGGCCGTCCTGGGGCCGTCTTGGGGCAATCTGCCGCCCTCTGGAGCCCCTGTTCGACCCTCAAGAGGGCCAATGTGCCGAAATCATTGATTTCCCATACGTTTTGGTACGTTTTGGGGCCCCCAAAGGGGGGCCGCCAGTTTGGCAGGGCGCTGTGGCGTGGCTCCAGGGGGGGGTTAGGGGGGGAGACATAACAATGTAACGCAATTACAATATGTGGCAATTATGCAAGCATTGGACACATTGGATCCGCTGCATTACAGCATCCGCGGACCTGCCTCCGGCAACACGTCACTTCCGGACGTGGATACTTAGGCTTACGCCACGCCGCCGAGCCGAGACCTTGGGCCCACGGGCGTTCTGTTGGTCGAGTCGAGTCTCGGTTGGTCCTCTCGCGGCTTCCTTTGGGGCAGCCCGAGTCGCCCTCGGGCCAGTCTTGCGGCGTCTGGGGTCCGGGGCCAAGGGCCAAGGGCCCAGTGGCTTTGGGGTTGGGGCTGCGCGCGCGCGGTGTTCCCAGAGCGAGCCCAGGCAGGGGGCAGAGCCCCCTGACGAGTGCAGGGGTCGGGGGGGGGGGGGGGCGGAGGGGGGGGCTTTGAGATGTTTTGAGCTTGGACCACCCTATATCAACATTTTGACGCTTCGCGCATGCCATGCCCACCAGAGGGGCAGCCTGGATGGACGAGGGCGGGGTCGCCGAACCGCGCGTATGTCACGCGAGGGCGCTCTCGCGTCACAGCTCTCGGGCGACCGCTCTCGGGGAGCTTCTTCGAGCTCTCATGGGGGCCTTCTGGGGCCAGCTTTGGAGCCGCCTGGGAGGGCCCAGAAGAGCCCCAAGAGGGGTCGCGCGAGAGCTCTCTCGCGTCACAGCTCCCCTTGGGCCCTTGGGCCTTGGGGCTCGGGTGACCGCGCTCGGCGTCCTCTCGGGGGCCTCTTGGAGCCCTCATGGGGGCCTTTTGGATTGGGGCCGTCTTGGAGCCGCCTGGGAGGGCCCAAGAGGGGCCCAGGAGTGGTCGCGCGAATTCGCTCGCGCTTTGGCTTTTGGGGGTCTTTTTGGGACCGTCTTGGAGCAGCCTGAGAGGGTCCAAGGGACGCGCCCTTGGCACCTAAAGTCAGGCATTGACTTTGCGCGCAGACGGCCTGGGGGGAGATGGCGCATTCTTGGGGTCGGTGGATTTCGATGACGACGCGGACCTCCGCGACGCGGAGAAGGGCCAGGGCGCGGCATACCCGCCCGCTCAGTCAGCGGATTCCGAGCAGAAGGCGCACGACGCAATCGCGAGTTTGTCAACATCAGGTTGGGCGGAACTCAACCGAGCGATCCCGTCCGAAAGATAACCAGTGCCGTGTCAATGTGTATTCGCGTTTTGTGCAGGTTCAGTTAGCCCCAAAGCCCAAAGCTGCGTTTGCGCCAATTAGTACTTTGGACTGACTAAGGTTCCAACGCTTTTTCTGTTTTAGGGCAGGGAGGGGATTTGGTTCTTGCCAGAGGGTCGTTGCATTGCATTGCATTGCAAGTCACTAACCACTCGGGGGCCGCATCGCAATGCGGCCCAGGCCCAGATCAGGCGCCAAGAGCTTAGACACTACAAACAAATATTACAAGCACACTTGCAGTTTGCCCCAGGTCAATCAGCATCTGTCGATTAGGCTGGATTAAACGACAGGTGCCGGCGCGGGGCAAAGGAATGGAGCGAGTCGAGGCCTCTGCCGCGCCTCCTCTTGATGCGCATCTGCATGCGCCCCCACGTGAAGTTGATGCAGCGGTTTCTGAAATCCGGCAGCGAGAGTTGGCAACGTGAGAGTTTGGTGTCGCCCTCGAAAGGTAATCGGCTTTCTTTCCGCGTCTTGGAGTGCTTCTTGGAAACATCAACTATTGAGTTCTTCGACAGCGTCTCTGACTTGCTGCGCACCCCCGAGCGTTGGGTGCTACTTCGCGCTGCCAGGACTTGCACAGATGAGCACGCCGCGCTGGCTTTCCGCATGTTGTCCTCTGGCGTTGAGCGCTCAGCGCAGCCGCGATGGTCACCGAGCCCGAACCGAGCATGCGAGCTCAGCAGGTATATGTCCTCTCGCCCTCCGACCGATCGTGCTCCGATCTGATCGTCGGCCAACCGCTCGTCGCATGCATTCCCGATCGCGCCAGTCGCCAGCCGATCGAGGGCCCGAAGTGTGGGTCTGCCATTCGCTCCAACCTCGGCCGTCGACGTTGGCGCGTCGACCGAGGGGCGACGCGCGTTTTTTTTGTTGTTGCTGGTCATTTGGTGCGTCGCGCTCGTTTTCAGGCCCACCTGGACCTGGCCACCAGGGCCTATTTTACTACGGCCCCCCGCCCCAGTTCAGAATCAGATTCGCATGACTCAAACAGGGTTTGCAGCGAAACCTGGCATATGAGGCCAATGGCCAACATCGTTGGCCTTCTCGGCCCTTGGTCCACAGCCCCCGGCCCTCGGCCCTCGGGGTTGCGTTAGACTTGCTGATGCTGCCAGCGTCCAGTCTACCATTGTGGATTGTCATCAGCGGGCAACCTATGTGTTGTTCGAGCTCCTGGCGGACTTGGATGTTGCTGATAATCTCCTTCGTTTGCCCGCTTGCCGCCTCGACCCCTTCACTAAACAACACTTGCAGAAGTTCGACGCTGCTGCCGAGCTGAAGTCTGAGCGGTCCATTGCGGTTCTGTTGGGGGCCGCGTATCTCGCATGGACCGACATTTGTGCGATCGAAGCTCGTCATGCCCAGGTGCGCCGGATTGCGGAGCTCAAGCCAGCTTCTTCCATTGGTAAGAAGTCATTGAAATGTCTTTCTTCCGACTTTCCGACTTTTCGCCACTGCGAATGCGCAGGATTCGGGGCTTTAAGAACGACAATTATTACAAGCCAACCGGGAGGGGGCGAGGCAGGCCGCCGAGAATGATTCGACCGCAGGCGCGCACTTGCCGCGGAAAGGCTCTTTCCATGGACCCTGAAAACATCAGGCGGCGCATGCGCCAGGAAGAGAAACGACTCAGCGTCGCGGGCGACCAGGGCGGGACTCGTCAGACGCGCGCTGGCGGGACGTGGAAGGCTTTCCTTGCACTGCGCTTGAAGGGCGAACGTATGCACCCCTTGTCTTCCGACTTTGACTCAGTCGGTGAAGCCCACGCCGCGGCCATGCGCGACCCCGTGGAGCGCGAGCGCTTGATCGCGAAGGGTAAGGCCACGAGATTGAAAGCGCGATTTAGCAGCAGAGGGGCAGCAAATGCCAGAGTTCAGAAGAGGAGATGTCGCAGTCTCGCTTTGCGACCAGACCCGGCCTTGGACATCGCTCTCCAGACGCCCGACAAGATCGAGGCATTCAGAGCCGCGAACCAGAGGCGTTGGGCCGACGCTGCGGAGGCTCATAAGCGAGACCAGATCGAGCAGCAGATGTTGGCCCAGTACCAGGCCGACATCACAGGGAACGCTCTGGCATCCACCTTCAGTGACTTCGGCAGCTTTGTCCAGGGCGGCGTCGCGGTTAAAGCAGAGTCGGCCCAGCGCGATTGCATGTTCGTGGAGTGGCAGCCGCCAGCAGCCGAGATGACGATTCACGCGCTGCCGAAGCTGTCCCATCGGGCTCGCGAGGTCTTGCTCGACCAGTGGTCAAGTATTCACGAGATGCTGCGGCGCGTCGACATGCCCAAGATTCCCAAACCAAAGAAGTCTAGTGACGTGAAACTGTGTTTTTGGGCAGGGATGTGCTTATGTTCAGAAGAAGGGTTGACGTTGAGATGTTTCGAGGGCGCGTTTACACAGTCCTTCAAGAAGCTGTTCCCGCCTAAGAGCCACGCCAGGGGGGTGCTAGAGCAGCGCAAGCTAGTCGTGAGGATTTGCAATTAGGATTCCAGTCGGTACTTCCACATTGCAGGCGTCAATTTCGGGAACTGGCACATGACTTTGCTCGACCTGGAGTTAGTCGACGAGCCGCTCGACGACTTCTGCATCGCCCAGGCGGCCCCAGGTGCGAAGTGGGCATTGACTTGGAAGCATTTCCAGGCAATCGGTTTCACCCAAGCTTGGTCGGCTGATATTTCGCTGATGGCACGCGGCCCCAGACAGCGAGATCGCTTAGAGGTGCGTCGATTGAGGTTGCAGCCGTGGCTTCCTGACTTCAAGTTTTGGGACCCCACTGCGGGCGTTGGCGGAGATGCCCCTCTGGATGATGAAGATCGCGGGGAAGGGCTTCCGATGGAGTACCTGGAACATCTCGGTTGGCTCTTGGATCAGGCTGGCCTTGCCGAGGATGCCGAGCACGATGCCCATGCTGCTTTCGGCATCGGGAGAGGTCGCGGCCGAGGTCGCGGTGGCGGCGGCCGCGGCAGAGCCCACGGCAGAGGCGCTGCAGGGCCGCCGCCAGGCCCCCCGGGGCCAGTTGCGCCGCCTCCAGGGCCTGGAGGGCCAGCAGCACTAGCGCCGCCTCCGGCAGCTCCAGCGGCTCCAGCGGCGGCACCGTCGCCACCGCCGCCACCGCCAGGGCCGGGGGCAAGAGTCCACCACGCCCCAGCAGATGGGTACCCGCGCTTGCACCATCGCAACGGATTCGTTCGTTTAGTTGACGTTCCAGCAGATGGGTTGAAAGATGTCAAAGCTTTCTGCGCCAGGCATGCTAAATGCAGTTTGACTCGCACTTTGAAGCCAGGCAAAATGGCAGGCCAAGGCCGGCCAATGGGATTAGCATGGGCGTGGTTGTCGAAGGCAGACCACCCCGATTGTTCCACCAAGGAAGGCCATAAGAGTCTAGAGAACATGCCGACGTTCCATGAGAGGACGGCTGCTCGAGATGAGTTGGAGGCAAATCCAGCCGCGGTCCGCTGGCTTAACGCCGAGATTGTGGGCGTTGGTGAGCCGCCACTGGCGCGTCCAGAACGCTATCGGTTGGCGCTGTGATTCGAACGACGTCCAGCCAGTCGTTTGCTCAAGTACTCTCTTTCTCTGTCGTCGCCATGGTCGCCCATGCTTGTCGTCAGCCGCCAGCCGATATCGGATATCGGCTTGGCAGTTTCGGCAGCCGCAGCCGCCCCCCGTCTTAAGCCTCCTTCTCAGAAGTCGACCGCCGCCAACCGTCACTTGTCATTGTCAGCCGCGAAGGAGGCGTGAGAACCATTTCTCGCATGCCAGTGATCGATGAGAAAGTGAACTTCATGTCCACAACGATTCCGTTGATTGCCATATTGGCAGACTGTCTCTCATTACTGGTCGGATGTTGCTGATACCTAACCAGATTACTTCATGCCTCTCGGCAGTGCAACGTTGCTCAGACGCCTTTCGGCGCAACCCCATCCGTCGCTCTCGTCTGGGATCTAGGACGGCGTCTCGGAGGTTTCGGCGTTCAGGGCCTCCCAGGGCCCAGGTGCCCAGTCCGGGTCGGCGCCTCGGAAGGTTCGGGCGCCCCAGGGCTTAGGGCCCAGGGGCCGCGGCGTCTCAGGGTTTCTCTGTGCCCAGGGCCTCCGTCTCGGAGGTTCGGATGCCCCGGGGCCCTGGGGGCCTCGGCGGCTTGGGATTCCTCAGCGCTCAGGGCCTCCCAGGGCCCAGGTGCCCAGTCTAGGTTCAAGGTTTTAGATTCAAGGTGCAGGGGGCCCCAGGGGCGCAGGGCCTCCAGAAAATCAGGACCTCATGGGGTTCATGGGGTTCCACGCTTGCGATGGGGATCCTTGCGCGTGGTCTCGGGGTGCCCTCTAGGGGTGTTATTGGGGGCCTCTGGGGCCGTCTTAGAAAGATCATGGAGCTCAAATGGGGTAAATCCAGTGGTGCTTCGGCGCTGCTTCTTCGGGTCATTTCAGTGGTGCTTCTGAGGCTCCATCGTTGTAGGCCGTTTCTTGGGGTACTTCCAGTGGTGTTTGTTTTTGTTTCCTCTATGGGTCATTCCAGTGGCGCCACCCCTTCGCCCGATCATCGAACCCTTTCGTGCTTCAGCTTCCCGCCTTTCCACCCTTCAGCCCCACCACCGCCTCCAAGACGAACCCTGCGCAATCACTTCGGTTCAAGCGTTCCTCGCGCGTCTCTGTTGCGAGTTTTGCGGCCCCCGAGCGCATTACTTACTGTCGACGACGACGATCCACCAAAATTTGGTTTGTTGCTCATGCATGGGTGTTCAGGGTGTCTGCGGCCCAATCCTGCTGGGGAAAAAAAAGCTAATTCCCACACGACACGCTCGCGTGTGGGAATTGGGCGTGGCCCCAATATTCTAACATGGTTTGCGGCCGTCTTGGAGGCCGTCTCGAGCCGTTTGAGAGGCCATCTTGAGCCGCCCCCAAGGCCTTCCAAGGGCGCTCCAAGACGGTCTAAGACAGGCCAAGAGGCACCCAAGACGGGTTCAAGACACCCCGAGAGCCCCCCAGGACGCCCAAACAGGGCTTCAAGAGAACCTCCCAAGAGGCCCACAAGTGCATTCCAAGAAGTCCCCGAAACGTTTCCCATTGATTGCGCACGTGCGTCATTTGCTTGGGAACATTTCCCATTGACTTCGCACCTCCTCCTCCTCCGACTCTTCCTCCTCAGACCCCCCGAGATCGTCGCCGTCGTCTTCTCCTTCTCCAGCTGGCCTTCCTTGTTCCCGTGCTCCGGCGGATCCCTCCGCCGCTTCTTCTCGAAGTCCCGCACGAGCCGTCCGTCATGCGAGGGCGAAGAGGGAAGCCCGAGGAGCCGCGACGATGACGACGACGACGACGACGAGGACGACGACGACGACGACGACAAGGACGACGACGACGACTTCTGCGGACCTTTATTTCGTGTGCGTGTGCGCGTGCGTGTGTGTGTGTGTGCGTGTGTGTGTGTGTGCGTGTGTGTGTGTGTGTGCGTGTGTGTGTGTGTGCGTGTGTGTGCGTGTGTGTGCGTGTGTGTGCGTGTGTGTGTGTGCGTGCGTGTGTGTGTGTGTGTGTGCGTGTGTGCGTGTGTGTGTGTTGTGTGTGTTGTGTGTGTGTTGTGTGTGTTGTGTGTTGTGTGTGTTGTGTGTGTGTTGTGTGTGTTGTGTGTGTGTTGTGTGTTGTGTGTTGTGTGTTGTGTGTTGTGTGTTGTGTGTTGTGTGTTGTGTGTGTGCGTGTGTGCGTGCGTGCGTGCGTGCGTGCGTGCGCGCGTGTGTGTGCTTGTGTGTGCGTGCGTGCGTGTGCGTGCGTGCGTGTGCGTGCGGCGTGTGTGTGTGTGTCTGTCTGTGTGTGTGTGTTGCGTGCGTGCGTGCGTGCGTGCGTGCGTGTGCGTGTGTGTGTGTATGTGTGTGCGTGTGTGCGTGTGTGCGTGTGTGCGTGTGTGTGTGTGTGTGTGTGGTGTGCGTGTGTGTGTGCGTGTGCGTGTGTGCGTGTGCGTGTGCGCGTGCGTGTGTGTGTGCGTGTGCGTGTGCGTGTGCGTGTGCGTGTGCGTGTGCGTGTGCGTGTGTGTGTGTGCGTGTGTGCGCGTGTGTGTGTGTGTGTGCGTGTGCGTGTGCGTGTGTGTGCGCGTGCGTGGGTGTGCGTGGGTGTGCGTGGGTGTGTGTGTGTGTGCGTGTGTGTGTGTGTGTGCGTGTGTGTGCGTGTGCGTGCGCGTGTGTGTTTGCGCACTTTTGCGCACCTCCAGGACCAAGGCCCTAAAGGGCCATGAGTTGCCAAAAAAATGCCACAGGGCGATGACGACGACGACGACTGCGACGACGACGACGACGACGACGGAAGGTTAGAAATTGCAGTTCGAGTTGGCCGTCTTGGGCTTCTCTTGAGGCCTTGTTGGGGTCCTCGTGGGCCGTCGTCGCTCGGGCGGGGCCGCATAGGGATGTTCTTGGGGGCCTCTGGGGCCGTCTTAGAACGACCATGGATTTTCAATGGGGTAAATCCCGTGGTGCTTCGGCACTGCTTCTCTGGGTCATTTCAGTGGTGCTTCTGAAGCTCCTTCGTTGTAGTGCGTTTCTTGGGGTTCTTCCAGTGGTGTTTTTTGTGTTTCCTCTATGGGTCATTCCAGTGGCGCCACCCCTTCGCCCGATCATCGAACCCTTTCGTGTTCCAGTTTCTCGCCTTCCCACCCTTCAGCCCCACCACCGCCTCCAAGAAGACGAACCCTGCGTAATCACCTTGGTTCAAGCGTTCCTCGCACGTGTCCGTTGCGAGCTTTGGGGCCCCCGAGCGCCTTATTTATTGTCGACGACGACGATCCACCAAAATTTGGTTTGCCGCTCATTTATGGGTGTTCAGGGTGCCCGCGGCCCAGTCTTGGGACAAAGTTAATTCCCGCGCGACACGCTCGTGTGTGGGAATTGGGTGTGGCCCCAATATGCTCACATGGTTTGCGGCCGTCTTGGAGGCCGTCTTGAGCCGTCTAAGAGGCCATTTTGAGCCGCCCCCAAGGCTTTCCAAGAGCGTTCCAAGACGGTCTAAGACAGGCCAAGAGGCTCCCAAGTCCCCGAAACGTTTCCCATTGATTGCGCACGTGCGTCATTTGCTTGGGAACATGGGAACATGTCCCATTGACTTCGCATTCGCGTCGTTTGCTTGGGAACGTTTCCCATTGACTTCGCACTCGCGTCATTTGCTTGGGAACGTTTCCCATTGATCATATCCTGTTGGCCTTCGGCCTTGAAGCCGCCCCTGGCCCCCGCCAGCGGCCTTCGACGCTCAATCCCGGTCTGGCCGTCCAGCGTCTTGCACCAGCCGCGCGCTTGCGCGTCTGCGACTTTGGCCCTCCCAGGAACCTCGGGGCCCTGGGTTTCTCGGCGCTCAGGGCCTCCCAGGGTCCATGGGCCCAGTCTAGGGGTCGGGGCTCCAGGGGCCCGGGACCTCCAGAGGTCCTCACGGCCTTGTGGCGTGGGGCCCACAGAGCCTTATGGGGTCCTCGTCGGTCCTCGTCGTCGGCGGCGTCGTCGTCGTCGCCGTCGTCGCGCCTTCCTCCTTCCCTCTCGCCCCCCCTTACTCCGTATCTTGGGGAATACATGGGGGACACGCGGGGGGGAGCGAACACGCGGGGGAGAATAAACACGAAGTGGAAGAGGAAAATGAAGAGGACGAGGAATAGTAGTAGGAGGAGGAGGAGGAGGCTTCGTGGGAGCCTCTTGGAGCACTGGCAGCTTCCTGGGTGCTTCTCGGTGGTCTCATGGGGGCCTCCCTGGGCCTGCCGGGGGCTTTGGGGGGCCTCTTTGGGGCATCTTTGGCCGTCTAAAGGCGCTCCTGGCCCGTCCGACGCCGTCGGGGGCCGTCTTGGGGGCCTCTCTGAACCGAGTGGCCCCAGGGAAGTCCCCCCGTGTCCCATTTCTCTCACCATCTAGGCCCAAGGTGCCATGCATCTTACCATTTTCGATATCCAGCAAGTTTCTTGCGAGAGCGCTGTGTCTTTCGGCGGCAATCAAGGAGCATGGCCAGGCGAAGCGATGGAATGCAGCCTTGCAGCTGCTTCGTGGTGAACTACAATCAAGTGTAGTAATCCTTCCAGGCCACTGCATGTCGACTGCCTGCGCATGTCGAGCAGGCGGCCAATTGCATCGAACACTCTTGCTGCCCGGCGATATGCGGGACGCGAAGCTGGAACCGAACGTCATCAGCTACAGCGCTGGGATCAGCGCCTGCGAGAAAGGCGATCAATGGCAGCGTGCTCTGGCGCTGCTCAGCGACATGTGGGGCGCGAAACTGGAGCCCGACGTCATCAGCTACAGCGCTGGGATCACCGCCTGCGAGAAGGGCGGACAGTGGCAGCGTGCTCTGGCGCTGCTGAGCGAGATGCGGGACGCGACGCTGGAGCCCGACGTTATCAGCTACAGCGCTGGGACCAGCGCCTGCGAGAAGGGCGGGCAGTGGCAGCGTGCTCCGGCGCAGCTCAGCGAGATGTGGGATGCGACGGTGAAGCCCAACGTCATCAGCTAGAACGCTGGGCGCGTGCGAGAAGGGCAGACAATGTCAGCGTGCCATGGCGCTACTCAGCGAGATGTGGGACGCGAAGCTGGAACCCAACGTCATCAGCTACACCGCTGGGACCAGCGCCTGCGAAAAGGGCGGGCAGTGGCAGCGTGCTCTGGCGCTGCTGAGCGGGATGTGGGATGCGACGCTGGAGCCCAACGTCATCAGCTACAACGCTCGGGTCAGCGCCTGCGAGGACGGCGGACAATGTCAGTGTGCTCTGGCGCTGCTGAGCGGGATGCGGGACGCGAAGCTGGAGCCCGACGTCATCAGCTACAGCGCTGGGATCAGCGCCTGCGAGAAAGGCGATCAATGGCAGCGTGCTCTGGCGCTGCTCAGCGACATGTGGGGCGCGAAACTGGGGCCCGACGTCATCAGCTACAGCGCTGGGATCACCGCCTGCGAGAAGGGCGGACAGTGGCCGCGTGCTCTGGCGCTGCTGAGCGAGTTGTGGGACAACACGCAGAAGCCCAATATCGTCAGCTACAACGCTGGGGTCAGCGCCTGCGAGAAGGGCGGGGCAGTGGCAGCGTGCTCTGGCGCTGCTCAGCGAGATGTGGGATGCGACGCTGAAGCCCAACGTCATCAGCCATAACGGTGGTATCAGCGCCTGCGAGGATGGCGGACAATGTCAGCGTCGGCGAGGCCTGGGCCGTCTTGGAGGCCATCTTGGGCGTCTGCGTCTCGGAGGCCTCTTGGGCCATCTTGCAGGCGTCTCGGGGCCATCTGGGCGTCTTGGGGGCCTCTTGGGACGTCTTGGGGCGCTCTGGGGGCCGTCTTGGGGGGCACTCGAGCCGCCATAAGGCCATCTCGCAGGCCTCTTGGACGATCTTGGGGGCCTCCTGGGCCAGGCAGAGATGAAGAAAACGCAAAAACAACTTTCCAACACCAAAGGAAAACTAAGGAGTTTGCCCTTTCCGGGCTCTCCTGGAGAACGCCCTGGAGGCCTCTTGGGACGTTGGAGGCATCTTGGAACCATCTTACCCGTCTTGGAGGCAATCTTGGCCGTCTAAGAGGCCTCTCGGAGGCCATCTTGGGCCAACATGGCCCATCTTGGAGGCCATCTTGCTTTGGATAAGTTTACCCGGATTGGGAATGTCCCGGGTGGCCGGCGGGCATGGCCCCACCCAACATCAGCAGCGCACGCAGAAATATCACAGCCCTCCGCCCCACGCCACCGATCCGGATATCGTGATATCGCGTTCCGCCCCGCCCCTGTCTCGGACATCGTGATATCGTGAAATCGCGTTCGGCCCGCCCCTGCATCGGATATCGTGATACCGCGATATCGCTCCATCGTGCCCCCCCCGCCCTTGTTTCGGATATCGCGATATCGTGGTATCGTCTCCCCCCCGCCCCTGTTTCGGATATCGTGATATCGTGACATCGTGATATCGTGATATCGTGTTCGGCCCGCCCTTGTTTCGGATATCGTGATATCGCGATTTCGTGCGGCGGCGATTTCGGCAAACTGTTTGCCCCCCACACTGCGAAAGGCGCATAGTCGGCGAGGGAATTAGAATAACCTTCAACAGTGACCACCCGGGCACCCCCTTCGCGTTCCGGGCAGTCTCCCAGGGAGTTCCGCCGAAGGTCCCAATGAAGCTCCAGCACGCGCGTCAGGCGTGCGCCGCCACCCCCTGCATGGCCTCCACATCCTTCTCTCTCCACTCCGTCCGCCGTCACGTTGCCCAATGTTTTCGCTGCCGCGGCAGAACCGGCAGACGCGGCCGTTAGTCAGTCCAGGAGTCCACCGCGCAGTTGATCGCGCCGCTCACGTTGCGCGAGGCAGTGGAGCGCGCCCGCGCCGCCAGGCGCCAGCTGGGCCAGGCCTTGGCCCAGGCGCCGAGTGGCGCTCCCAGGGCCGCGGCGGGCGCAACAAGGCAGCCAGAGAGTTCAGATGATCACGCCCCTTCTCCGTCACCACCGCCAGAGCCCAACAGGTACTTGTTCAGGCGGCTATCAGATCCTGACGCCGCGGAGGCCGCGCCTCAGTTTCTCGCTCCGCCGAGGCATCCCTTCTTGAAGTGGTGGACCGAGCCGCTCCTCAATGCAGTCGCCCGACGCATGGAGACGTTGAGGTACCACCGTGACATGACCATGGAGTCTATCTGTTTTGGGTTGGGCACAGAGGTCATGTGCGCGCGGGCTCTAGGACTGCCAATCAAGTGCTTGTCCATGTGCGACTTGAAATCGCATTACCGCTCGTTCTTGAAGCGGAACTTCGGCAACCCTGCTGCCCCAGCCGTGCGCATTTGGGAATCTATGGCAGACGCTGCTGGTCAGTCAGGGCATTGCGACAACCTCGACGCGGAGATCCCAAAGGGTAGCGCTCGAGCTTCCCCCTCACCATGTGCGACATGGCATCTTCTTTTCTCGTTGCGACGGTCGTGCGCGGAATTCTCCTCGCCTCGCGCGCCCCCGCCAATCGCCAGGTACCAGCCCATCCAGGAAACGATCGCCGCGTTACTTCAGAGACCCTGTTACTTCAGAGGCGAGGCCATGTTACTTCAGAGGCCCTTAGAAATCACATCGAGGAACGGAAGACATCCTCGCAACTCGGAGCTCAGCAGCCCCCTGCCCTGAGGTGGCCGGGTCAGTCTCGCGCGGGACATCCTCGCAACCCCAGGTTCAGAGCGGCCTCCTGACCTGAGGTGGTCGGGTCAGTCTCGCGTGGGACATCCTCGCAATTCCAGGCTCAGAGATCCCCTGACCTCAGGTGGTCGGGCCAGTCTCGCCTGATACATCCATCCATTTTTTTGCTCGGAAATGCCCCCCGCGAGGTTGTCTGTTTCCCCGCTCATGTCTTTATTGTCTGTCTGTCTGTATCTCTCTCTCTCTCTCTCTCTTTTTTTTTCTCTCTCTCTCTCTCTCTCTCTCTCTCTCTCTCTCTCTCTCTCTCTCTCTCTCTCTCTCTCTCTTCTCTCTCTCTCTCTCTCTCTCTCTCTCTCTCTCTCTCTCTCTCTCACTCTCTCTCTCTCTATCTCTCTCTCTCTCTTCCTCTCTCACTCTCTCTCTCTCTCTCTTTTCTCTTTCTCTCTGTTTTTCTCTCACTCTCTCTCTCTCTGTCTCAGGGCGTTTTCCTCCTCCCACGCCAATGCTCATTCTCCCTCCTCGTCCGCGTTCTGATCCCCATCTTCGCGCGCTTCCCCATTCGCTTCCAAATCGGTTTCAACAGACCCCCGCGAAGATACCCTTCCTTATCCTCTGCCTCCTCTCCCCCGCCTCCTCCTCCTCTCTCTCTCTCCCCCCCCTCCCCCTCCTCCTCCTACTCTTCCTCCTCAGACCCCCAGAGATTGTCGTCGTCGTCCTCTCCTCCTCCAGCTGGCCTTCCTTTTTCCCATGCTCCGGCAGATCCCTCCGCCGCTTCTTCTCGAAGTCCGGCGCAAGCCGTCAGTCATACGAGGGCGAAAAGGGAGGGCCCGATGGGGCCACGACGACGACGACGACGACGACGACGAAGACGACGACCAGGACGACGACGACGTCGACGACTTCTGCTGACCTTTTTTGCGCGCGTGCGTTTGCGCACTTCTGCGCACCTCCGAGACCAAGGCCCTAAAGGGCCATGAGTTGCCACAAAGTGTCGAAGGACGATGACGACGACGACGACGACGACGGAAGGCTTGGAATTCCAGTTCGAGTTGGCCGTCTTGGGCCTCTCTCGAGGCCTCTTTGGGGTCCTCGTGGGCCGTCGTCGCTCCGGCGGGGCCGTCTAGGGTGTTCTTGGGGGCTTCTGTGGCCGTCTCAGAACGATCATGGAGCTTAAAATGGGGTAAATCCAGTGGTGTTTCGGCGCTGCTTCTTCGGGTCATTTCAGTGGTGTTTCTGAGGCCCCTTCGTTGTAGGGCGCTCCTTGGGGTACTTCCAGTCGTGTTTTGTTTGTTTCCTCTTTGGGTTATTCCAGTGGTGCCACCCCTTCGCCCGATCATCGAACCTTTTAGTGCTCCAGTTTCTCGTCTTTCCACCCTTCACCCCCACCACCGCCTCCAAGACGAACCCTGCGTAATCACCTTGGTTCAAGCGTCCCTCGCAAGTCTCAGTTGCGAGTTTTGGCCCCCCCGAGCGCGTTACTTACTGTCGACGACGACGATCCACCAAATTTTGGTTGGCGGCTAATTTATGGGTGGTCATGGCGCCCGCGGCCCAGTCCTGCTGGGGAAAAAGCTAATTCCCACGCGACGCGCTCGTGTGTGGGAATTGGGTGTGGCCCCAATATTATCACATGGTTTGCGGCCGTCTTGGAACCTGCCCCCCGAGGTGTCTCCGGAAGACCTCGGGGGAACGCATGGCGGAGAGCGAACGCGAAGAGGAAGCGGAAGCGGAAAGAGACGTTGCCAGGCAGGGGGCGTCTCTGAAGCGACTTCGGCTGTCTTGGGCGAAGGCTCCCAGAGGCAACGCTGGCAGGGCGTCGCAGGCGACGCGCTTGTTTTCGAACAAAAGTGGTTAACAGGTTAGAAGTGTTTCAAGATTTTGGCTTCTAAGGCTATCTTAGACATCATCCGAGATCGGTAAGATATGATCTCCGAACCAATGTTAAGTAACATGCTGATTGTTTGAGGATGTTCCTAGCGATTTTTTCTTGAAAATGCAAAGATGGGGAGCTTATTGGAGGCTTCTTGGGGCAGCCTCTGCGCTGCCCCGAGAATTGCCCAATCCGATTGCGTTATTAGCCATTTTGGAAGACAATAGGTTTTTTCTTATACATATATATATATAAGTGTTTCGGAGCTCCCGCTTTTTCAAACCATGACAGAGGCGGCCAAGCCGCTGGCCACGTCTGCAGCGCTGCCGAAAGCGCGCCTGTCCACGCACGCTGCTTGGAACGAAGGCCCTATCGGCTGCCAAGTTGATCGATAGCAAAGAGACCCGGTCGCGACTCAGAGAATTGAAAAAGGGAAAGCGGCCGCCGACAGAGACACGCGATGGCAGCTTGAGTGTCCTGATCCGAGCAACGGGGGTTGCCCCATGCTGCCTCAAAGCCATGTATGGGTGCCGCGCAGAAGATATCCTCGAAAAGTTGCGGGCGGCGTCTTTTGCGGACAGAGAGGCGGCGCGCCTTCGGAGGGAGCGAAATCTTATGACAGAGGACATCAGTATTGATTTCGGTTCTTTTGCAACGGAGTCGGCGCGCTTGCGGGACAGGCGCAATGTGGCCCGATGCGTTCAACGCCGGGAGCAGCGCCTCTATCGAAGACGCCTGCGGCGAATCACCGCCGCCCCCCGCCATCAGAGGAGGAGGAGGAGGAGGAGGGGGAGGACGAGGAGGACGAGGAGGAGGGGGGAGGGGGGGGGGAAGAGGAGGAGAAGGAGGGGGAGGAGGAGGAGGCTATATTGAACCGCTTTGGGTGCATCGTGGGCTGTCTTGAAGCTAGATTAGGCCGTCTTGGGGCTATTTTCGGCCGTCTTGGATGATATTAAGCCGCGTTGCTTGCATCCTGGGCTGTCTCGGAGGCATACCTGGGCCATCTTAGCCGCCTTGGAGACCACCTTGGCCGTCTTGGAGGCATCTTGGAGACCAGTTTGGGCACGTTTCGAGCGCACAAACCTACGAGGCAGGCAGCCGGCGGGACAGGCCGGAGCCCCGGGGCGGGGGGGGGGGGGAGGGTTGGGAAAAGAACAAAAAAACAGGGCCAAGGACCTGAGAACACGCCCGCTCCGTGCGCACAGCGCGGCGGCGGCTCCCCCACGAGATGCAAAAGATATTATCCACGAACGCAATGTGCGGATGTGGCATGATGATTTGTCCCAGTATTTGCATCAGCAGAAGAATCGAATAGAGGAGGCTATGCCCAATGATATGATTGGCATCTCCCTCATGCCGTTGATCCTAAGCCAGAATTTCGCTTTTGCCAAGAACCGCCTGCCTTGGATTGTGAGCTCGGGGGGGCTCACAACTATTGACAAGTGCAAGGCTTTTGCAGGTCGTTTCACGCGGGATAATATGTTGCCGCGAGATGTCATCAAGAATGGGCTCACAGCGGTGAGAATAATGGCTGGGGCCATCCGATATGACGTAGCTCCGCGGCCACAGGGGCATCGCATGGTTGAAGAGGTCGTCTTCGCGCTGGCAGAGCCGAAGCGCGCCAGGTGCACCTCGTGACTTCCCATGAGGAATGCATTCGTGCTCAGAAACAGTGGGCCGCCGCTCTAGCTGGGGGGCGTTTCCTGCAGTTGTCAGCGGAGGAAATCTATCCAGTTGCGCTGCCGCGCGATTCCGCCACCGCGCTCGGGCGGGCGCCGCGGGGGGGCGGGGGGCGACCGCCGGGGGAGGGGGCGGGGGGATGCCACGGGCCGCAGCTTCCCGAAACTTTGCGTTTGATCACTTCAATTTCTGTCTGGATCACGAAAAACGCAGGGACAGGATCGCAGGATGCAGCGAAAGGGCCCGACACACACCTACCGCTGCAAGCGCGGTGGCGGATGCTCTCGAGGCGAAGCCTGGTGACGATTTCGAAAAGAAGAACATCGCCGAGTACCTCGGCGCGGTCTTCGGTTGGGAAGACCGCGACACTACCCGGACTGCCGGAAACACAAGGAAATTCATATCTTTGATTGCGCAATTCTGGACGCTTCGCGCATCCCCACCAGCCCATCCAGACACGGTGCCCAGGAGAGCTGGCGGGAGGAAACAGGAACATACGCACTTAATGGAACAACGCGGGCAACAGCAGGCGATCTGGGGCGGTCTTGGGCACGTCTTCGAGGCCCCTAAGCGGCCGATTGAAGCTCTTTTGGGCAATCTTGGGGGTCAGTGCCCTTGTCGGGCTCTACTAACGGCGTTGGGATTCTCATGGAGCCCCCTTGGGGTCTTCGGGTCCCTCTTGGGCCCCTCCTGGGGCCCTCGTGGGCACGTGGAACCATCTCGTCGCTCTCGCGGGGCCTTTTGGGCGCATGTCGGAAGCTGTCTTGGGGCATCTTCGGCTGTCTGGAGCTGTCTTTAAGGCCATGTTGGGGCATTGGAGGCCCTCTCGGCGCCATCTTGGGCCATCTTGAACGCCCCGTCCAGGCCCAGGGGGAGGCCTCCCCGAAGGGGAAGAAGGGGTTGTGGAAGAGGGAAGAGGAACATCGACAAACTAGTGGCCCAGAGGGCTGGTGGGATTCCGGGGTCTTCCCGAGCCTACGACTGAATCGGAAAGGCTAAAAATGCTAGACGGCTTCAGGGAGCGATTGGCGCCTTATTGGCCAGTGCCCATTAGCATCGGGTCGGCAGTGGTATTGTGCCAGCCAGCAGGGCTAGCAAGTGCGCAGACGTGGAGTTGTAAGTTCACGGTGGAACTCGATTACGTGATCTTGGGGATGGTGCATTCGAAGAACGATCGGGGAGCGCGTTGTGCTATGAAACGAAAGTTTGCTGAGCTAGGCGCATAGATTCAGCGTTTCTTCCTGTGGGGGCCGAAAACACCACGATTGAAGTCGCCGGCTTCCCTGGGGGATCGAGGTTCGAGGCCAGGGCTTGCCGTTTTGGGCCGCGCGGTCGTCGTCGTCGTCGTCGTCGCCGTCGTCGCGGCCGCCGTCGTCGTCGCCGCCGCCGCCGCGGGGGCCTCCGTCGCCTCCCCTGCCATCCCTCGCCTCCCTCGGCGTCCTCCTCTCGGCGCAACCCAGCACGGCGGCGGCCAGGGCGCGGTTCCGCCGCCCCCGGGGGATCTCATGGGAATCGCCAGGGGCCGTCTGGAAAGATTCTCGGGCCGTTTCAGGACCATCGTGAGCGTCTGGGGCTGACGTTTGAGCGTCTGCGACCCTTGCCAGCCCGTCGTGGCTGCCCCCCCCCCGCGCCTCCGATCTGGTTGAGATAAACAAGCGAAACATATGAGATCATTGAGCCCAAACCCAATTCCCACACTCAAGCGCCCCGTGGGAATAGGCTTTTCCACCGCCAGAAATGGGTCGCAAGCGCATGACCCCCCCCCCCCCCCCCCTCCCCCCAACATCAGCGGAGCACGCAGAAATGCCACAGCCCCCCGCCCCACGCTTCCGATCCGGATATCGTGATATCGTGTTCCGCCCCGCTCCTGTTTCGGATGTCGTGATATCGTGATATCGTGTTCCCCCCCGCCCCTGTCTCGGATATCGTGACATCGTGATATCGTGATATCGTGCCCACCTCCGCTCCCGTTTCGGATATCGTGATATCCTGATATCGCGACATCGTGTTCGGCCCGCACTTGTTTCGGACATCGTGATATCGCGATTTCGCGCGGCGGTGATTTCGGCAAAGTGTTTTCCCCCACGCTGCCCTGACTCATTGCGTGCCCATTGACGTCGCACTCGTGTCATTTGCTTGGGAACGTTTCCCATTGATTTCGCACTCGCGTCATTTGCTTGGGAACGTTTCCCAATGGTCATATCCTGTTGGCCTTCGGCCTTTAAGCCGCCCCTGGCCCCCGTCAGTGGCATTCGACGCTCAATCACGGTCTGGCCGCCCAGCGTCTTGGACCAGCCGCGCGCTTGCGCGTCTGCGGCTTTGGCCCGCCCAGGGTCCTCGGGGGCTCTGGGTTTCTCGGCGCTCAGGGCCTCCCAGGGTCCATGGGCCCAGTGTAGGGGTCGGGGCTCCAGGGGCCCGGGACCTCCAGAGGTTCTCACGGCCCTATGGGGTCCGCGGGGCCCCCGGAGCCTTGTGGGGTCCTCGTCGGTCCTCGTCGTCGTCGTCGGCGGCGGCGTCGTCGTCGTCGTCGCCGTCGTCGCGCCCCCCCCCCCCCCCCCTTACTTCGCCCCCTGGGGAAGACGCGGGGGACGCGTGGGGGAGAGTGAACACGTGGGGGGGAATGAACACGAAGAGGAAGAGGAAGAGGACGAGGAATGGTAGTAGGAGAAGGAGGAAGCTTCGTGGGAGCCTCTTGGAGCACTCTCGGGGGTTGCTCGGAGTTTCCTGGGGGCTTCTTGGGGGTCACATGGGGGCCTCCTTGGGCCTGCTGGGGGCTTTGGGGAGCTTCTTGGGGGCATCTTTGGCCGTCATCGGGCGCTCCTGGCCCGTCCGACGCCGTCGGGAGCCGCCTGGGGGCCTCCCTGAATCCTCTCACCACCTAGGCTCAAGGCGCCATGCATCTTACCATGTTCGATGCAAGTTTCTTGCGAGAGCGCTGCGTCCCCCGGCTTGGCAATCAAAGAGTATGACCAGGCGAAACGATGGAATGCAGCCTTGCAACTGCTTCGTGGTGAGCGAATTACAATCAAGTGTAGAAGTCCTTCCAGGCCACTACATGTCGACTGCGTGCGCGCGTCGAGCAGGCGGCCAATGGCATCGAGCACTCTTGCTGCTCAGAGGGATGCGGGACGCGAAGCTGGAGCCCGACGTCATCAGCTACAGCGCTGGGACCAGCGCCTGCGAGAAGGGCGATCAATGGCAGCGTGCTCTGGCGCTGCTCAGCGAGATGTGGGGCGCGAAGCTGGAGCCGAACGTCATCGGCTACAACGCTGGGATCAGCGCCTGCGAGAAGGGCGGGCAGTGGCAGCGCGCTCTGGCGCTGCTGCGCGGGATGCGGGACGCGAAGCTGGAGCCCGACGCCATCAGCTACAGCGCTGGGATCAGCGCCCGCGAGGACGGCGGACAATGTCAGCGTGCTCTGGCGCTGCTCAGCGAGATGTGGGATGCGACGCTGAAGCCCAACGTCATCAGCTGCAACGCTAGGCGCGCGCGAGAAGGGCAGACAATGTCAGCGTGCTCTGGCGCTGCCCAGCGAGATGCGGGACGCGAAGCTGGAGCCCGACGTCAGCAGCTACAGCGCTGGGACGGGCGCCTGCGAGAAGGGCGGGCAGTGGCAGCGTGCTCTGGCGTTGCTGAGCGAGATGTGGGATGCGACGCTGAAGCCCAACGTCATCAGCTACAACGCTGGGATCAGCGCCTGCGAGAAGGGCGGGCGGTGGCAGCGCGCTATGGCGCTGCTCAGCGAGATGCGGGACGCGAAGCTGGAGCCCGACGTCATCAGCTACAGCGCTGGGACCAGCGCCTGCGAGAAGGGCGGGCGGTGGCAGCGTGCTCTGGCGCTGCTCAGCGAGATGTGATACGCGAAGCTGGAGCCGAACGCCATCTCTCCTACATGGCGGGTGGAAGCGCGTGCGAGAAAGTCAGGCATTCAAGTGCACAAACTCGTCCCTTTACGGCCCCAGGCTGGCCCCGGGCCGCCCCGGGCCGCCTCGGGAGGCCCCAAGACACGCCAAAAGGGCCCAGAGAGGCCACCAAGACGGCCCCGGAGGGCTTCGGCACGCCCAAAGATGGGCTTAGACGCTCGAGATTGGCCCAAGACGGCTCCAGAGACCTCCAAGACGGCCCAAGAAGCCTCCCAAGAGGCCTCCGAAGAGGGTCCCGAGTGGCAGAAATCGTGGATTTCCATTGTGTTTTTTGATGTTTTTGGCCTTCTCGCCTTTTCGGCTTCCCGAGGCTCCAAGACGGCCCCAGAGGCCCCCAAGACCGCTCCAAGACAGCCGAAGAGGCCCCCAGGAGAGCGTCAAGACGGGCCAAGAGGGCCCCAAGACGGGCCCCAGCAGGCCCCGGCGCGCTCCGAGACGCTCCAAGACGAGCCAAGGAAGGCTCCAAGACACCTTCAAGATGGCCCCAGAGGGCCCCGGCACGCCCAAAAATGAGCCCAAGACGCTCAAGATTGGCCCAAGACGGCTCCAGAGGTCTCCAAGACGCCCCAAGAGGCTTCCCAAGAGGCCTCCCAACAGGGCCCCGAGTGGCAAGCATTTATGATTTCCATTGTGTTTTTCTATGTTTTCGGCCTTCTCGCCTTTTCGGCTTCCCGACGCTCCAAGACGGTCCCAGAGGTCCCCCAGACCGCTCCAAGACGGCCGAAGAGGGCCCCAAGAGAGCCCCAAGACGGGCCAAGAGGGCCCCAAGACGGGCCCCAGCAGGCCCCGGCGCGCTCCGAGGCGCTCCAAGACGCGCCAAGGAAGGCCCCAAGAGACCTTCAAGATGGCCCCAGAGGGCCCCGGCACGCCCAAAAATGAGCCCAAGACGCTCAAGATTGGCCCAAGACGGCTCCGGAGGTCTCCAAGATGCCCCAAGAGAGGGTCCCGAGTGGCAAAAAACGATGATTTCCATTATGTTTTCCGATGTTTTCGGCCTCCTCGCCTTTTCGGCTTCCCGACGCTCCAAGACGGTCCCAGAGGTCCCCCAGACAGCTCCAAGACGGCCGAAGAGGGCCCCAAGAGAGCCCGAAGACGGGCCAAGAGGGCCCCAAGACGGCCCCACGACTCCCCAAGACGGCCCCAGCACGGCCCAGGAGGCGCCCAAGACGGCTCAAGAGGCACCCAAGACGGCCCCAAGAGCGGCCCGAGACGGCCCAGGACAGCCCAAGAGGCGCCCAAGCCGGCCTCAGCTGGCCCCAAGACGGCCCAAGAGGCACCCAAGACGGCCCAAGAGGGCCCTAAGAGCCTCCCCGGGAGGCCCAGAAGACCCCAAGTGGCTCCGAAACGGCCCCCACGAGGCCCTAAGTGGTTTCAGAATTGCCTCCAGGAGGGTGGGAGCGGACGAGAGGCGACAGGCATTTCGCAGACACTAAAGAGCCGTGCAGCATCAGCAGCACGCGTTGACAACGCAAGCGTCATTCAGCATCATGCAGCATGCAGCAACATCCAGCACCAGGCAAAAAGCTAGCAGCAGCACCAAGCCGTAGCAAGCAGCAGCCCACACCAGTCAAACCGCAGGCGGCAGCAGAAGAACGACAAAGCAAACAGCAGCGAGTAGCAGCAGGCAGCACTCAGCACAACAAGCGGCGGCCATGAAGCCTCCGAGAGCGTTTCGAGAGGGTCCTCATGACAAGCGTCGTTGGCCAGGCGAACAAGGAGCCCAACGTCATCAGGTGCGCCATCCAGCAGCACCCCCTCCACCCCGCAAGTGGACGGAGTCCACGGGTCAGCCCTAGTCAGCTACAGCGCTGGGATCAGCGCCTGCGAGAAGGGCGGGCGGTGGCAGCGTGCTCTGGCGCTGCTCAGCGAAATGTGGGATGCGACGCCGAAGCCCGACGTCATCAGCCATAACGCTGGGATCAGCGCCTGCGAGGAGGGCGGACAATGTCAGCGTCGGCGAGGCCTCAGGGCCGTCTTGGAGGCCATCTTGGGCGTCTGCGTCCTGGAGGCTTCTTGGGCCATCTTGCAGGCATCTTGGGGCCATGTGGGCGTCTTGGAGGCCTCTTGGGCCGTCTTGGGGCGCTCTGGGGGCCGTCTAGGGGGGCAATCGAGCCGTCAAAAGGCCATTTCGCAGGCCTCTTGGGCGATCTTGGGGGCCTCCTGAGCCGTCGGAAGGCAGAGAAGAAGAAAACACGAAAGCAACCTTCCAACACCTTAGGAAAACTAATGGTTTCGCCTTCTCCAGGCTCTCCTGGAGAACGTCTTGGAGGCCTCTTGGGACGTGTTGGAGGCATCTGGGAACCATCTCAGCCGTCTTGGAGGCAGCCTTGGCCGCCTACGAGGCCTCTGGGAGGCCATATTGGGCCAACGTGGCCATTTTGGAGGCCATCTTGCGCCGTCCTGGAATATTTTTATCCGGGTTGGGAATGTTCCGGGTGGCCGGCGGACATGGCCCTCCCAACATCAGCAGCGCACGCAGAAATATCACAGCCCTCCGCCCCACGCCTCCGATCCGGATATCGTGATATCGTGTTCCGCCCCGCCCCTGTTTCGAATATCGTGATATCGTGGTATCGCGATATTTCGCCTCCCCCCGGCGACGCGAAAGAAACGAAACTGAAATTCAGAGGCCCCCTTCAAGGTATACAACTCGGAGCGCACGCTGATCGCAAAGAGCCGGGATATAGGAAGGCATGCTCGTGTAATAGGAAACGGGTTCAATGAGGGAGCCGTTCTTCAAAGCGGTAATCTCCAGGATGTGCCGCGTTCGATCTCATATGTGTCAAAGAATTTGGGGACGTTGCGCCGCTGGCTTTAATTCTTTGTGGTTCTCACTCTTCTCTTCCCAGGCGTTAACGTTGACATGCGGTTTCGCGCATGGTCTCAGTTAGGTTTTGAATGTTGTGTTATTTTCTTCATGTGAAATCTATTGTAATTCCAATGGGAATTATTCATGCAATTCAAGTTTTGTTTGGAATTTCATTTTGGAATTTTTATATACTTTGAATTTCAATTTGAATATGTTTTTTTTGAATTTTTTGTGTAGTTTGAATTTCACGGCGAAAATCCGTTTGACTTGTTTGTGTAGTTTGAATGTACGTTTGCAGTCTGGCGCTCGGACCACCTTAGCCCAAAAATGGAACACCTAATTCTAGATTTGGGGGCATTGTTGGAAGGACCGAAAACCATGCCGCGGCATGGCGCTGGAAATCATGACGCCAGCGCTGCAGCGGGAGCACGATTCATAACGAGCGGTAGCCTGAACATGAGGCAGGCGCTTTTGCGGGAGCACGATTTGGAACGAGCGGTAGCCCGAAAATGAGCCCAGCGCTTCAGCGAGAGCAATGTATTGAACATAAACAAGCGCGGAAGTACGGAAATGAGGACGCGTAGCTTGACATAGCATGGCCTGGCGACGCCCTAGGGGGCTCCTGCGGCCCCCCAAAAAACGAATCGGCACCGAATGTGTAATCATTTCTGATGGTTTCTTCGGGGGACACTGTTTTGGATGTGGGGGCATTTTTGGAAGGACCGAAAACCATGCCGCGGCATGGCGCTGGAAATCATGACGCCAGCACTGCAGCGGGAGCACGATTCGGAACGAGCGGAAGCGCGAACACGAGGCCAGCGCTGCAGCTTGAGCACGATTTGGAACGAGCGTTGGGGGGGGGGCCGAAGATATCCCAGACTCCACAGGGGAGAGAGGAGAGTAGTATTCAGATTGTGCAAGTGATGATGATGAGGAGGAGGAGGAGGAGGAGGAGGAGGGGGAGGAGGAGGAGGAGGGGGAACAGGAGGAGGAAGAGCAGGACCAGCAGGAGGAGGAGGAGAAGGAGGGGGAGCGATATCACCAGCGTGCCTTGCCAGGGGCGTCCTGGACCCGCGTCGGCCAGGAGGGGTCTGCAAGCCACGCCTGGGGCCAGGATGGCCCCGGCCAGGCGCGGCAGTGGTGCGCAGCTGCCCTCTGCGGGCCCTAAGACGCCCGCAGAGGCCACGGGGGCCCTGAAAGCGGCGTCCGAACCCGTTGAGCAAAGAAACGCGCGTGGTGATTGTGTCCGCGATGCCTCGGGGCCTATCCGCATCTCCACTCCGAAGCGTCAGCGTCCCGAGCCGTTCCAAGCCTCCCGCCTCGCGGAGCGGAGCGACACGCTATCCGCTCGCAGGGCATAGCATGTCGCCAGGGCCACCGCTGCGACACGGCAAGCAAAAGCTCCCAACCGTAAGAACACCAAAAACCGTTATGAGAACCGTGTGTGGTTCGTATAGAATGTGATTGCGAAGGCCTTGCGACTGGTGCAACCGACCCTGTTCGACCTGTTTAGTCTGCGTAGTCTTGTCTTAAAGCGCGATGTCGTGCTACAGCAACAGACTGCTACTGATGCTAGTAAACCCTTATGTTGTAAGAGTGTTGCATGGTAGGCCTTTAGGGACATCAGGACGGTCGGTCCCTGTATGTTTCGCTTCTCGTCAGGGGAGCAAGGGGTGAGGGCCGCTAGATACTCCCTGGAAGTCCTGGAACGCATCCTGAGCCCATCCTACCATGACATCGCAATCGTCCTATGTGTCCGCCCCCAGCCTTCTAGCATCATGTGAGGATCGTTCTAAGTTCAGTTTCTAGCAAGGCAGTTGCGTACACAGTTTAGCGCAGGCGGGATGGGTGGGATTGCAGCAGCGCTTCCCCACCTCCGCAGCCATCTGCTTCCGAGGCCCCACAGGGTGCCGTGCTGGCAGCACGCATTGTGCACTGTGCACGCGCTGCAGGACAGAAGACGCAATAAACCCAGATTTCGTGAAAGAAGAGAAGGAATCTGGCCTGGACCCCGGGCGTTTTCTCGGAGCTTCTTTCTTCGTCGAACAGTCGTATACCTGGACCTGGATCATTGTTTCAGAAAGCACTTGAAGTGAAAATAATTTCCTTAGCGCGCGATGCCCTTAACTCTGAGCCGGGTGCGCACGGCAAGTCCCCCCCTCGAAGAGCCGCAGGTGGGCCGCGGCGCCGCGGCGCCGAGAGAGGCCCGCGCCCCCGCGAGGACCTGCGGCTCCTGCTGGACCACAGCCTGAGCGGCGAGGTCTCCGTGGGCGACAGCACGTGGAGCCTGAGCGACGGCACGCTGGCCACGCCGGGCGCTCCAGAAGTTACAGCCACAGTCCGACGAGGCGCAAGAGTGACCTTTCGCCGGAGTGACCTTTGTGGCGGGCCCGACGGGCCTCCCCGATCGCTGAACGCGAAGCGGTAGCAGCGGCTTGCGCGCCCAGGTCTGGCCATCCCGTCCGGTCGCGCACCAAAGGTCATTCTTGCCCAGGGTCACCATTACGTGTAGCCGAAAAACCCACGGTAAGGACGCGGCACTTCCGCGAGGGCTTTTTCGCAGCCTTGCTTCCTCGGCCAATCTTTGGCCAGTTTCCACATCCAGGGGCGTCCGAGTTTGAAGGTCCAAAGGCCCTATACCCCCACCTTGCGTCCTCACCAAGAACTGGAGAGCACAAACGCTTCCGCCGTCAGGGACGCCTGCCCCAGGGCGGCTGGAAAGCATATGCCCCTTCGGGGGCGGCCAGGAGGCGGGTAATGACTAGAGGGGGTGGATACCATGGCAGGGGCCGTGATACCTCCCCATACTTCGCAGCGCCTCGTCTTGTTTCTTGTTTCAACGCGTCCCCGCCCGCCGCCCCTCCCCCCCCCTTTGTGCCGCGCACATGCCGCCAGCCATTGTTTGCACCCCTTCCCCCTCCTCTTGGACGCCCCGCTCTTGGACGCCCCCGACCGCTACGGCGGCGCGTCGGGGCACAGACTCTCAAGCCGCCCCGGGGCAAGCGCCCCTGATGGCGGAAGAATCGATTTGATACCGCTCCTCTCCGCCGCGAAACACTGTACACAGACACCCTCCACTGGATTGCTCCTGGGCCCCAGGACGGGTGGCAGTGTATAAATCACCATTGAGAGCCAGCGCCTTTATCTTCCGTCCGCTTCTTGAAGGTGCACACAAAGATCGTCGGAGGGTGTCTGTGTGTATTTTTTCGTGGCGTATCCTGCCACGGCAGAGCCTCCCCTGCCCTCCGGCCCCTGGGGGGCCGCCGCGAGGACGACCTCCCGCCGCCGGCGGGAGGGCTGGCCGAGGGGGCGCGGAGGCCGAAGGTGGATCATCGGTCAGACGCAAAGAGAGTCGGCGGCGAGCGAGGGGGAAGAATCGACGCCCGAGGTGTTCGGCGGCTGGTCTCGTGGCGTGGATTCCTGGCGCTTGTCCAGCCTCAGGCTGCGTTCCAGCGGCTGCGCCTCGCCGAGAACGTTCGGGGGAGGCCCAGGTCGTCCCGAACGGCCGCCAGAGGCCCAAGTTTGGACCCGAAAGCTGAGCTCGGCGGCGCACCGAAGGGGAAGCGAGAAGGAGGAGGCCTTCTCAGAAGGCAGTGGACCGTCGCAGAAGGCCTCTGGCCTTCTGGGAGGCTTTCTGCGTCTTCCGGGAGCGCGCATACAATTTCTCAGAAGGCCGAGGGACTTGCGAGCCTTCTGAGAAGGCCCGCCCCTTCTCACTTCCCACTCGGGCGCGCCGCCAAGAGTGGCGGGCACACTGATCCGCGGCCATGTTGGCGCAAGCCATGTTGGCTCAAGGCCCGAGAGAAGGGCGCCCTTTCCCGTAGAAGTGCGGACAGAGGGCTTCTGCTACACTTACTTACGATGCGCACGCGCACGATCATGTCAGGAAGACGTTGGGAGCAGCTCGCAGTGGTCGCTCTCGTTCTGACGTCGCCCGCGGGCGCCCTCACGCCGGAGAGCCCCGACTCGCAACCCGTGCCGCGCTCTCGCCCATGCCGGAGGCGCCCAGCTTCCTGGCGCCCGCTGCCGCCGAGGAGGTGCAGTCCCACGTGCGGGCCTGGTTCGATGTGGTCGAGTCGGAGCTGGCGGCGGTCGACTACTCGAACCGTCCAGCCTGCGTGCCTATCGCTGGCGCGTGCATCACCCTGGTAGTCCACATCTCAGAGAGCAGGTACGAGCTCCACTGTGGTGCGTTCAGTGGCTGTCGTGGCCCGCCACGGAAGGATATCCTGCACGTGATCGTGCCAGGTCTCCCCGCTGATGTGGACATGTGCGTGCCCTTCGGCCTGCACGACGGCGCGCAAAACGTCCGTTCTGGCAACTTGGGCATACCGGTCCTCGGCGCTATGTATCACCCGCTGTCTTCCACTATTGTTGTGCCTTTCGCGATGGGCAACGTCAGATTTGCTCTGCCGTATGTCAACACGCTGGGAAAGGGATGTTGCCATGTAACAGCACCAGCGCGCGCATCAAGAAGGCCGTCTTCCGCGGCAGAACGCAGTGGAAGGGGATGAAGTTCGGGACGTGCACGCAGAGCTGCGGCTGGGAAGACAATGGCCGCTGGCTCCTTCACATGCTTGGCGAGTCTCACCCCGACATGTTCGACGCTTATGTCACAAGATCCACCAGAGAAGCAATGGCAGCGACTTCCTGCCCTTGACGGAACAGCTGTGCAACTACCAGGTTATACTGAACGTGGGGAGCGCCAACGACTAGGCCGAAAGACTCAGGCAGTGCTTTTACGGAAACGCCGTCGTCATGTTGCCCGAGAATCCGTTATTCGAGTTTTTCAACAGCTTCATGCGACCGTGGAGGCATTTCTGGCCCATCATGTCTGACCTCAGTGATGTCGTTGAACAAGTGTCCCATGTCATGTCGCTGTAGAACACGTCGCGGCAGCTGCAGGGTCAGAAGGATTTTGACCGAAAGTATTTGAGCGAGGAGTTGATTCATTATTACAACAAGATGGTTATCATGGAGTACGCCGCGCGGGTGAGGAACTTCGTCCACGGGACGCAGGCTGCCCAGAGCAGCGCCGCCGCAGAGGAGGCGAGGTCCCTCCTTAAGCTCGACGGTGGCCGTCGCTACCATGAGCGCGAGTGCCCGCCCAGATATCCTATTTGACGTGGTCAGTGCCCACGCATTTCCCCTGTCAGCTCGGCGGGTTACAACAACATCTGTTATCATGGAGTACGCAGCGCGGGCAAGGGGCTTCGTCGACAGGGCGAACCCTCTCGTCGCGGGGCTTCGTCGACAAGACCCAGCTATCCGAAACAGTTTTAGGTAGGTTCCTGGCCAGCCCCAGCCAGGGGAAATCCAGGATATGCTTTTCCTTTGTTGGCTCAGCTATCCAAAACAGCGTCGCCGCAGAGGAGGCGAGGTCCCTTCTTAAGCTCGGCTGTTGGCTGTTGCCGACACTTCCATGAGCGTGAGTGCCCACCCACTTCCACTTGACTTGCATGTGTACGCTCAGCGCGGCGCGCATTTGGCGCGTCGACTGTTCGTCGTCTGGTCACTGATTGTTCCATCGTTGTCAAAAAAGGTGGCGGGCACACTGAGGCTCCCAGATGGCTGAATTCGCTGCGACAGCAGTGGCTTGTGCGCTCGGGTTCGGCCTCCCGGCAGCTCCCGAAAGCCGCGCACCAAAGGGCACCCCTGCCTGGGGTCACTCGCTGCATGCCGCCGAGACCGCACCCACGAGCGACCCAGACCTCCGACGATACGACTCGCTTCCATCCGGGCGTTTTCCTCGTTCTCGGCGTCTGGGGCCCGTCATCGGGCCCCGGGGCAATCAATCACGGATCCAGGGTGAGAAGCTGCCCCCAGGGCACGGGGAAGGGAACTCTGGGGCCGCTCATCCAGCTCAGACCCCCTGGCCGCCTCCAGGCCTCGCCGCCGAGGGATCGACAAGTTGGCGCCTACGCTTCGGCGGAGCTGGAAGCAGGCTGGCAGAAGCCGGCGCAAGTGACATGGGGGCGGCTCCGCCGGCCGAAGGCGGCGGAAGCACATGACGTGCCCCCAAGGTGGCGACAAGCTTTCGAGGCTCAGGGTTTCCGAAGGAGCCGACCATCCAAGACATTTGGGGGCAGCCGTGGCTGCTGATCTGGGCAGTCCTGACCAAGTCGTGTCCGCTGCTCTGGGCGGTCCTGCAGTCAACCCGCGTAGTAAGGATGGGCAACCGTCCCGAGCGTACCCTTGCATCCTTGCCCCTTCGGCCCATGCTCAGCGACTTTCGCGGGCCAGCCTCGCTCGAAAAGCGTCAACGTGGGCCTCCGAGGCCCTGGCGCCCTTACCGCGCATCCTTCGGAGACGGGCTGACGGTGGCCAAGTTGTGTCCGTCCTTCGGCTGCGCACAGGGGACAAAAAGCCAAGCCGTCTGGGGGCACGCTTGACGTCGAGCTTCACACTCTTCCCGAGGTGCCCTTGGGGCTCCCGTGGGCCCCCGGGGGCCGCCGCCTCTGCGGGACCGGGGGCCTCCTCTGTGGGGATCACGTGCTGGCAGGCCGGCCTCTCCCTCGGCGTGCCTGCGCCCGCTCGCCGACGCTCCACGGCCCAGCACCCCTGTGGAAAAAGAGGAGAGGAAGCACACAGGCACAATCAAGCGTCGATCCCCAGGAAAGCACGGGAGAATATGGGAAGTGGGGTGGGGAGGACGAAACTCCAGAAAGTATGGAACAGTATGGGAACTCCTGGGATTCGTGTGTATTTGTTTGTGTGTCCCTGGGCCCCTTCGCAGCACTCTGTGGAAAAAGAAGGGAGGAGATGAGGGGACAGGCACAGGGGGAACGCATCGACCCCCAATCGCCCACCGGTCGCCGATAGAGGCCCGATAGCCCCGACGTGCCCAGGAGCCCAGACTCACGATCGGGGGCTCATCGCCGATCTATCGGCGGTGCATCGCCGATTCCAGATCGATGGGCCCCCCCTCATATGCCAGTTCCCCCTTCTCGCTGCCCCTCAGAAAAGGGAGGGGAGGGCGTCGCAGCCCTCACCCGCACTACAGCGCCTGCCCCCAAGGGGGGCCGTAGCCTCCCCAAGGCACCACAGGGGGAGGGGAAGGAGGCGGGGCAGCGGCGGCATGAGCGGGAGGACTGACATCAGGCGATCGCAAACATGGATCAAGGGGGCGTGGATTAGCGACGGGTCCCAAATCGCGGATTCCCGCCGCCGAACGAGGCGGCACTGGCCGCATTTTGGGGAGGGCACCTCCCCCGATCCATGGATTTGGCGACCGCGCGCCAACTCCATGGATCACTAATCCATGTTTGCGCGCCGCCGATGACAGGTGAGCGATGCAGCAAAAAGAAACGGGTCGTCTTTGCCGACGTTGGCGCGTAAGCTGCTCGCGTAAGGTCGCGCGTAAGCGGCCTCGTCTCCAATGTAGCGTGCCGCGCTGGCGGCCCGCGTAAGCCGCCGCGCAAGGTCGCCACGTCATGTCGTGCAAGCCCCGTTTTTGATCGTCGTCCAGGTGGTCTTCTTGGGGGGGGGGGGCCAGGAGGAGTGCTCGCACGACCTCCGAGCGTGGCTCCCCTGCCCCTGCTCGCCGTGGGCGCTGGCGGAGCGGGCGGCTGAATCGCACGGAGCGGGGCTGGACGGGGACCATCCTTGGCTGCTTTCGCTGGCCGCGCCTCGCCCGCAAAGTGTCGTCATAGCCTTCCAAGTCCCTGACATCCTCATCGTGCGTCCTTATGATACGGATGGGCTCTGACGCGGGACACTGTGCTGACACAGTTAGCCGCCACAGGAACCTTCGATCGAAGGCAGGCCGCGCAAAAAGGTCTCGACGTGGACCAGGCAGTGCCACGGGGGGGGGTCACCACTAGGGGGGTCGCGAGCTCTTCGTCAGAATCGAGGTTTTTGCGGATCGAGGAGGTGTTCTGACGTGTGTAAGCTTTTCTGGGGTCCGTGATAGCTCTGGAGGGGCCATGTCTTCAAGGAGGTACTGAGGAAGTGGCGCTTCCTCGAGAGGAAGTGGCGACCCACCTCGTGGTGACCCTCCCCCTCGGCACTGCCCCAGTGGAGGACCCCGGGCTCTGGTCACTCGAAAAGGTCGCGCCGGAGGATGTTCGCGGTTCTCGGCGTCCTGGAGTCGCTCCCAGGCCCCACGGGGCCATCAGCAAGAGAGCAGCTCGGGATGGGGCGCGGGTCCCGGTCGAGGGGTCGAGGGCTCCTGGGGCTCAGGACAAGATACCGCTATACCGATGCCCTCGATGCCCTCCCCTCGTCGCCACGGCGGGGTTCGCCTCGAAGTTCTGGTCAGAACGCACCCGTGGGAGAGGACTTTTGGAGGGCAGTCAGCGCGGATAGTAAGGATGAACCACTTTCCACGGGTACTACATCGCCGCTCCGAAAGTTCCTTGAATTTTCTGAGTTGGACCCGATGGCAGTGTGTGCTCGCCTACGTTGCACCCCTCTTGGCAACGGCCCCGACGGGGTTGAGGGTCAGGATGCGTTGAACCCCCTCCCCCCCCTAGAAGCCTAGCAAGATAGCCCTCATGCGTGGTCTCGGCGGGATCCTTGGCGAGTAGTTCCCTTTTTAAAAATATTCCCTACCTAGGCTCTGCCTAGAAGGGTTCTTACTCTCTTAGCTTAAAGGGGCCGGGCAGTGTAAATCGCCCCGGGCGGTTCCCCCAGTCCCCGCCCCGCGGTTCCCCCCAGTCCCCTGGGAGCTTTAGCTTTAGCTTTAGCTTAGCTGTAGCTTAGCTTTAGCTTAGCGTTTCGCTTAGCGTTTCGCTTAGCGTTTAGTTTAGCGTTTAGTTTAGCTGTAGCGTAGCTTTAGCTTAGCGTTAGCTTAGCTTTAGCTTAGCTTGAGCTTAGCTGTAGCTTAGCTTTAGCTTAGCTTTAGCTTAGCTTTAGCTTAGCTTTAGCTTAGCTTTAGCTTAGCTGTAGCTGAGCTTTAGCTTAGCTGCTGCTCAGCTTTAGCTTAGCTTTAGCTTAGCTTTAGCTTAGCTTTACCTTAGCTTTAGCTTAGCTTTAGCTTAGCTTCAGCATAGCTGTGGCTTATTTTTAGCTTAGCTTTAGCTTAGCTTTAGCTTAGCTTTAGCTTAGCGTTACTGTTACTACTAATGCTGCTTTCCTAGGGGTTCCAACTCCTAGGTAGGGTCGCACTGGGATAATATAGCTTTAGTCCGGCCAACCATAAATCCCACCCATTAGAAATAGGGTCCAGACAAATCCCGCGGTGGGACACAATCCCGCCAATGTATGACGTGTTCGGGTCGTCTTGAGGTCATGTTGAAATCATCTCTAGGTTATCTTAAGATCATGGTGTTGTACTCTGGGAATGCCCCGGCCGCCTCGGGGTCGCTCTGGGGCCACCGCGCCTGGTCTCCAGGGCATCGCTCACATCTTGGGCCATCTTGGCTTCGGCCCCAGGCCATTTCGACGCTGCGTCTGGATCCTGCAGGGGCCACGGGCTCTTCTTGGGGTCGCCCCGAGGTCATCTTCGTGTCCGTCTGAGGCCGTCGTGGAACCATCTTGGGGCCATGGGGCCGACCAATCATCATGTCCGGGTCGTCTGGAGGTCTTCCGTGTTTCCAAGGAAACTTTCGTTACGCCTACGTATTGCATGCTTCCCTTTCGGCCATCCTTGACCACTTTTGCTGGCCGCGCCTCTCTCGAAAAGTGACGACATGGACCTCCAAGGGCCTTGCATCCTCATTGAATCGTGCCTTGTTTTTACTATTACTGATATTCTTAGTAGTCTGATCATAATTCGTTGCGTTGACTGTACCCGTATCGGTATCGGTACCTTTTTGCCCCCCACCCCACCCCGCTCCCGAGGGCGGCGATCCGAGAGGTCGAGCCGTCGGAGTTCTGAGGACGGGCGGGGGGAGCAGGAGGGAGGGGTCTTTCAGCGGTCGGGGGGAGGAGGAAGGGAGGAGGCTCGATAAAATGAGACGATGTTTTCAACGTGGCAATGGCCCCCGAGGAGTTCAGCTAACCTCGGTCTGGCCTCGTCGCTTTAGCGCTCTGGGCCAAAATGCCTACAGTGAAGTGTGCGCACGCCCCTGCCGTTACGACCGATTCTGCAAATTTGGTCGTCGGGCTTCTGTCGCCCAAGGGTTCTAGGGCTATAAACCTCCACCGACCCCAACCAACCTCCATGTACTACCGCACCACTCTGAGGGTGCGGCTGCCTGGACAAGCATTGAAACTCATTAGTTTGTGCAGCAAGTGGCCTTCTGACAGTCTGAAAGACACGCGAGGGGTCTTTAACCCGCTCGTGCCAAACAACCGCTCGGCCTCCCGGAATACGCGGCTAAATTTCGCATGCTCCCATTCTCTGTAGTAGGGAAGAATGATAAAGCCGTCATTCGCACGGGATGTGTATTGGGCAGAAGGAGAGGGATGTAGGCTCAAATCGACACCGCTTGTCGCACGAATGGACTCAGAAAACTGCGATATGCAAGCTTTTGTGGCCTTCGCATTGCTATTCAAGGACATGTATCGATGAATCATCGCGAAGGGCCATGCCATGTGCACATGAAAGGGGTGAGCAGACGAGATAGAGAGCGGGGTAAAGATGGAAGAAGGCTTCGTGTGGCAGAACGACGAGAGTTTCCCAGACTTTCTCCACTCAGCATCCTTTCTCAGCTCTACATCTAGCATCGTGGTTGCCTCGGTCGATCTACTCTCGAGCTCGATTTTGAAAAACCTGCTCCTCTCCATCATGCGTCTCAGAAAGAGTCCGTGCAAGCCACTACTGACGTCGCCCCGGAAAATGATGAGACCATCATCTTTGAATCTGCCGTAAAATTTTACACCATGGTGTCTTCGGACATCGGGTCGAAGGACAAATGGGGCCTCAACCATACTGTGGAAAGCGGCGTCGGCCACTTCGCCCGAACATAGGAGACCCATGCCTGTGCCCAGCTCTACCTTCCAAAGTCGATCCGTGCCTTCAGCACTGATGAGTTGATTGCGAAGGATAGCCAGAAGCAAAATCTTATAAATTCTCTTATCGTCGGCGTCGTCGAGCAGCTCGCTGGATTCATCAACCAGTTCCTGGTGTGATCCGCTCATGAAAAAATCTGGTATATCGAAACGTACGAACACATCGTCCGCATCCACCTCAACATGACCAAGCTGTTTGAGTAGATCGTGGGTGTCACGTAAAATGTGTATTTGTTGCCTCAACTTTGGCTTCAACATCGAAGACACGTGAACCATGGCGCCGGTCATTGGGTTACCCGCGCTTGCGTGAATTGGACGCAACTTTAGGTCACCGGCACGCTTGTGAGTTTTAACTTTGGTCTTCAAAGTCGATACCATATGTCTGTATCCATTGTGGGCCCAACTCAAGACCGAATGGCAATATGAAAAGTCGTTCAGCATTCTACCCACATCCATCACGCTCTCTTTGAAGCTGTCGAAAAATTCCTTTGGGGTGTCGCTCGTGCCATCTACCTCACGGTAGTTAGAACCTCCCAAAATCTTGAGACGTGCCTCCAGGAGATGTTGTTTAGCCACCAAGCAATATCCTCCATCTTTGTCTGTGGGGAGAATACCAACCGTGCCGAACTCCAGTATGTCAAGCGCTAGACGGTGAACGCCAGAAACATTTGAAGTCGAGTGACGATGACTGAAAAATCGCCCTCTCGCTACTCGGCACGCCTGCCAGATGCCATTGGTGATGTATTGCAGATGGGCCTCCACCTGAGGAGACACATTGTGAGGGCATGCAGGGGTGATGCGTCTTCGCGCTCTCAGGTGCCACCAACGGTCGGTGTCCTCTCCTGCATAGAACAATTTCCACTTCTGACGGTGATACCAATTACTCAGAGATTGGCCGACTCGCGCAAGGTCAGGGACCTTGCGTGTTCGCAAGACGTGCTTTCTATGGAGGGTGAGTAAGAATTCAACAGGCCAACATAATACACTTGCTGCCGGGCGGTGAGCAGTTAGGTTGACCGCGTCCCACATGTATACATCGGGACTCGATTTGCCGCACTTCAGAAGTATTTTGAAATCTGATATGCTCATCCCTCTCACCATTTTCCAGAACAGCCTTTCCCCTGTTTGGCCTTGCCCTTGCCGTATCCTGCTTTCCCAGAGTTTGATCCTCCTTTTCCTTTTTTGCCACCTTTCGGAGTTGACGTAGTCGTCGCTTTGCCACCGCCTTTGTCGTAACGGTCGCCCTTGCCCCCAGTCTTGTCGTAACGGCGCTGGGCGTCGGTCTTGCCTTTCTTGCCCTTTGGAAGGTACTTGCCGTCGTAGCCCTTGCCTTTGGTCTTGCCTTTGCCGTTGCTCTTGGCTTTGCCTTTTGCTTTGCCTTTGGACCCCGCCGCCGCCGGCGGGGGACCGCCGTTTCTTGGTTTGAGCGCGCTCTCCACCAACTCTTCGCTCACCATGCCCTCGGTGCCGACGCGCTTCATGATCTCTGCGGGGTATACGTCCACATTCGCTTTGGCTGCCAAGGCTTGGATCGGATCCTTCTCCCGAGGACCTTTTCCTTTTCGCCCGCCTTTGACACCAAGACTACGCAGACGTTCGTCCAACCGTTTATCAATTGTCATTTCAACGTATTCTTCGGGGGTCTTTTCCACCAGCTTCTCAATCAAAAGCTTCTTGCTCGTGAGTTTGTCTTGTTGAACCTTTCCTCTTGCGTCCTCCGCTGCCGCTGCTTTGTCAACAACTTGCTTGTATATGGTCGTCACCTGCAGCTCGAGCTCATCTCTGCTCATGCCTGCGAGCGTAGCCTGGTCATCATCACTGTCCAAATCCAATTTTGACCATACTGTTCTCTGCTCGTCGTTCAGGCTCATGCAACGTTCAACGAAGTTTGACCGTTTTGTCACCATTCTCAAATTAGTTCTCTGCGCCTCTAGCAACTGAAGGTCCAAGTTCTTCTGTAGCTTGACCATCTCCTTGTGGACAATGGTCTTGGCATCACGAATGGAAGTATTCTGGTCGATGTTGATGGCCGTAGAAATCGCCTCATTGATGCGGATTGTGTCTAGAAGCGGTGTCTCGAAGTGTATCGGGACTCGGCGTAGTCCACGTCCTGGTGGAAGTTCCCCAGGTGGTGTTTGATCCATCTCTCTGAGGACGTCCTTGCAAGACTGAATTGAGCGGTTCGTATTCTGTAAACTTTGAATTTTAGCTCCCAATTCTGACGCGTGTTTCTTCACATGACGGGTGATCTCTGGACATTGATTTGTGCCCAATCTCACATCCACCAAGCGCCGTATATCCGCCGTGAGAGGTGGATACGTATGCGTCCTTGCTGGGCTTGGTGATCGATCCCACGCTGGAGGAGAACGGCTCCTCCCACGCGTCTGGACTGCGCTCCTTGGTTTCACCGGTTGCGGTTCATGCAATTGTCGTCTATGCCGCCGTGCTTCGGGCCCCGCTGCAGGGGCTTCAAGGGCACCTCCACCACGGGGGGCACCGCCGGCAGACACATCCACGTCGCCCATCGCTCAGGAAAGTACAGTACCGAAAACTCGATAAAATGAGACGATGTTTTCAACGTGGCAATGGCCCCCGAGGAGTTCAGCTAACCTCGGTCTGGCCTCGTCGCTTTAGCGCTCTGGGCCAAAATGCCTACAGTGAAGTGTGCGCACGCCCCTGCCGTTACGACGGATTCTGCAAATTTGGTCGTCGGGCTTCTGTCGCCCAAGGGCTATAGGGCTATAGGGCTATAGGGCTATAGGGCTATAGGGCTATAGGGCTATAGGGCTATGGTCTCCAGGGCATCGCTCACATCTTGGGCCATCTTGGCTTCGGCCCCACGCCATTTCGACGCTGCGTCTGGATCCTGCAGGGGCCACGGGCTCTTCTTGGGGTCGCCCCGAGGTCATCTTCGTGCCCGTCTGAGGCCGTCGTGGAACCATCTTGGGGCCATGGGGCCGCCCAATCATCATGTCCGGGTCGTCTGGAGGTCTTCCGTGTTTCCAAGGAAATGTTCGTTACGCCTACGTATTGCATCCTTCCCCTTCGGCCATCCTTGACCACTTTTGCTGGCCGCGCCTCTCTCGAAAAGTGACGACATGGACCTCCAAGGGCCTTGCATCCTCATTGAATCGTGCCTTGTTTTTACTATTACTGATATTCTTAGTAGTCTGATCATAATTCGTTGCGTTGACTGTGCCCGTATCGGTATCGGTACCTTTTTGCCCCCCACCCCACCCCGCTCCCGAGGGCGGCGATCCGAGAGGTCGAGTCGTCGGAGTTCTGAGGACGGGCGGGGGGAGCAGGAGGGAGGGGTCTTTCAGCGGTCGGGGGGAGGAGGAAGGGAGGAGGGAGGGAGGGAGGAGGGAGGAGGAAGCGAGGGAGGGAGGGAGGGAGGAGGAGGGAGGAGGGAAGGGAGGGTCTTTCAGGAGGGAGGGAGGGAGCGGGGGGAGCTTGTTTGTGGCAACTCCTCATCGGCAGCTTTGCGGTGGAGCCCCGTGGAGATGAAGGCGAAGAGGAAGAGGACGAGAAGGAAGAAAAGAGTGAGGGGGAGGACGAAGAGGGAGGAGAAAGAGGAGAAGGAGGAGGAGGACGAGGAGGCGGCGAATGAGGAGGAGTGGGAGGAGGCAGATGAGAAGCGAAGTGAGGGGCAGCCTAAGACTGCGCACGCTTGCCCTGGAGGTGATCGAGCTGGCCAAGAAGGTAGACTACAGCCAAGCCGCTGGAGCTCCCGCGAGCAAGCCCAGGTGCACATGGGTAGCCCTTGAGAAGGGACAAGGAAGAGAAAGGAGAACGGTGAGGAGGAAGTGATTTGTGATTTCAGATGGTTCTGAGGTCCTCATCCTCCTCCCCCTCCTTCTCTTCCTCCTCCTCCTCCTCCTCCTCCTCCTCCTCATTGTCCTCTTTGTTTCGTCCTTGCCCTCCTCCTGCTCCGCACTTTGCCTTCCTCGCCATGCGCGTCGCGATAGCCGTAAACTACACATCCGTTGGTGGCAGGTTACACGGACACTGATGGAAATGGTTGACGCTTCGCGAATCCCCACCAGCCCATCCAGACACGATGCCCAGAAGAATTGCCTGGATCAGGGAAGTGGGCAGCACACAGCGGACGCCATTATGAGACATCTTGGGATATCTTGAGCGACGTTGGAGGTCATCTTGGGCTCTCCCAGGCGCTCTTGGAGTCATCTTAATCAGTGCTCCCCCCCAAGAGGCCAACATGTGGCTAAAACCTTTCTGTGAAATCAATGATTTGGCATTCTCGTCGAGGCCTCTTGGAGCATCTTGGGTGCCTCTGGGGGGTCTCTTGGGGTCTCTTGGGGGTCTCGTGGGGGCCTCCTGGGGGCCTCTTGGGGGCCTCTTGGGGCCATCTTGTGGCCATCTTGGGACCTCTTGGGGCCTCCTGGGCGCTTCTTGGGGCCATCTTGGAGGAGATCGATCCAACAAGAGGGGGGCATTAATTAGCGCCCCCCCCCCCCCCCCCCCCGGAGGCCAAAATGGTGCCCAAACCCCAATAAAACCAATGAGTTGACTTCCTCGCCGAGGCAGTTTTGGCTCTCGCCGAGGCCTCTTGGAGCATCTTGGGTGCCTCTGGGGGGTCTCTTGGGGCCTCTTGGGAGCCTCCTGGGGGCCTCCTGGTGGCCTCTTGGGGGCGTCTTTGGGCCATCTTGGGGCCATCCTTGGACCTCTTGAGACCTCCTGGGCGTTTCTTGGGGCCATCTTGGAGAGGAGGAGATCGATCAAACAAGAGGGGAGCATTAATCAGCGCCCCCCCCCCCCCCCAGGACGCCTAATTGGGGCCAAAACCTAATGATGTTGGCTTCCTCGCCGAGGCAGTTTTGGCATTCTCGCCGAGACCTGTTGGAGCATCTTGGGTGACTCTGGGGGGTCCCTTGGGGCCTCTTGAGGGTCTCTTGGGGGCCTCCTGGGGGCCAATTGGGGGCCTCTTGGGGCCATCTTGGGGCCATCTTGGGACATCTTGAGGCCTCCTGGGCGCTTCTTGGGGCCATCTTGGAGGATATCGATCACAGGAGAGCCTCAGGAGGCCCAAAACGGAGCCAAAACCATAGAAACATCAATGATTTTGGTTTCCTCGCCGAGGCCGTTTTGGACGCCCTGGCGACTCGCGACCCCCCCCTCCAGGTCTATGGGGGGGGGTAGGGGGAGGGGTAAACCCCTCCCCGAAGGGGGAGAAGGATGGGTGGAAGAGGAAACTCTCTAAACCACCGACGCCCAGAGGGCTGGTGGGATTATATTCACAGCAGCCCACTGCCCGAGCACAGTCACCCAACTCATCGCCGGCGTTGTGGACACACGTCGCTAGTGCAAGGCCTTGGCCAGCAACGCGTCGCACATCACTCCCTCGGTCGAGATGGCCCCGGCTCCGGATCAGGATATCGATAGAGATCTCCTTTTTTCCATCGTCAATATCCAATCCGGCATATGATTGATAGAGCCGACCGATGGCATGCAACAGAGATGTTCGAAGGTGACTCCAGCGATGTTGGACACCGCACCTCGGGCAGCTTGTGCCCTGCCATCCGAGCATGTTGGATCTCGATCTTCGGACCACTCAGGACACTGATTGTGCATGGCGAACGTCTGATCCTTGGTGCCGCAACGAAGCCATTTTTCGACCGACGTGGCGTCGTGGTCCCAGTACGAGTTCCCGACCAGCACGCCCACATGCTTCAACGACCCGGTGCAAACCTACGACAAGTTATGCATCCCATTGAAGAACAACCTTGGCGCGAATGACTCGGAGTCAGCATGCCCAACATACTGTTTGAGGTTGCGTTTGCAGGCAAATAGAGGCGCAACCCCATACAACACGCGATTTGGAAGGCAACCGCGGATGTTGCCAGACATGTTGGCACTCCCGGGTGGCACAGCAGGTGCGGCACGCAATTCGCACCGGCTAAAAGAGATCGCGATGTAACGAATTGTAGAGGTCTCGGCCACTTCCCGCAGCAACCGAGTCTCCAAGACCAACACAACAGTCGAGTGGCAGACCCTGGGCTACAAGTCAGGTGAGTTGGTCGACTTCTACCGAGCTCCATCCACCAAAGGTGCGAGTGGGCGGAGTGATATAGCCGCAGTCGTCAAGATGAGTGCCTAACAAGGCACCGTGACCATGAACTACCGAATTGCTAGACAGATATGGCGCATCGAAGATGTACGACGGTTCATGGACTTTGTGGTGGATTGAGATACAGTGTTACGAGCCAACCGATTCTACCCTTGGGTCAGGCATTGATGAAGATAGAGCAGCGTATCATTAGCTTCTCGGCTTAGGTCCTTCACCGCCTTGGCTCTGCCGACACGGTCACGGCCACCATTGCCACCGCTAAAATGTGATCTGCGGCTTCGAGCCGCGAATACTTAGCCAGAAACGTTTTCAGTCTCAACAGTGTCGCGGCCATCCAAATCGGCCGCGACCTCGAGCGCATCGCGGCCGAGGACAGTCTACACTCCTCACTCCTGGCATGGCGGCCACCAGGCCATCGCGAAGTGGACACCTAGTGGAGCTTCGGGGCTGGCAGACTAAGCCTCGTCAGGCTTCTAGATCCCGACCACGGCAAAATGCGCGTAACGCATGGAGTGGTAGTTGGGCGTTGCTTCGGAGATCTCGTGGCAGATGGGCCCCAAGTAGCAGTCACTCGGGGAAGTAGCGCCGATCCTTCGGAAGCAGGCGCACGCCCTGACGACTCCACGCACGACGAGGCGAGGCCATCCACCAACGAGGAGGGGTCCAACGAAGACTCCGCGAGCGATCGCTACCTCATCGACACCACTTGGTGGACCTTCTTACCGCGCGACCATCAGGCAGTCATGAAGGATACGTCGTTCACAGAGCGGGTCACCTTCGAGGAGATCTCAGAGACGGAAACCCAACCAGCCCCGCCACACCCACTACCACAAGTCCTGCACACAGAGGTGGGCCAGCAGCGCCACTGCTCTACAGTTGGCGCTGCACCTCTCGAGACCACAGAGGCCTTCGACATCAATGAAGCTAAGGGCGCCAACCTGGGAATGTTGGCGCCGGGCGAGATGCGCAAACTCAGATTAGACCATCCTGTCCCCGACGGTCACTGCGCGCGCCCACGGGAACCAAGAAGGCAGTGGTCGAACGTGGTGTAGACTGGCTCACCCTCGAAGAGTTTCGAGGGCACGCCGCAGCCGTCGTTGCCGCCGTGATCGGGGAACTGCAAGCACGTGTAGATCACAATTGCTTCGCGCGGCGTCCGTGCCGAGGAACGCGCGGCATGTTTGATTGCAGGTGGGTAGGCAACTGGAAATGGACGCGAAGTGAGTCAGACCCACGCAAAGAGTTCCGGATCACCCGCGCGAGGCTGTCCCTCCGAGGCGTCAAGGACGCCGACGCCGACCCCCGCGCGCACAGGCACCTCATCGCGACGCTCCCGCCGCGCGATGGTCTCCGATGCTGCCTGCCGAGGATGCACGTTCGATGCGTTGGACGCCATGGAGGCCTCCCTGACAAGCGTCAGTTACCAGGAACTTGCGGGGGCAACTGGCGAGCAAGAGCGCGAGGTCAAGTCTGAGCTCACCCCCGACGCCGTCGCAGTCCTGCGCAAACTAAAGGGGCGCCAAGATCTCGACCCAGCACTGGGAGATCTCCACGCGGAGAGCACGGCGACCCAGTGACAGGGCGCCCCGAGACGCCGGCCTGCCCAGCCCACTAGTACCATTAATCAAATGTACCTAGCAATCCCAACATCATATCTAATCTGACAACGAGTCCATCGCCAAACACCAAGATCACCATCTCGTCCCATTGGCCACCAAACATGTCGACGACATCAAAGTCACAGGACCACCACAAGGAAATGCAAAGCTACGTCAATGCGCACAGGATGTTCTCGGCAAAGGTGAGCTGGATGCTAGCGAAGGCATGTTCACGCGCAGTGGAACACGTCAGCCCCCCACGCCAGGCCCCACGCACAATGGCGGATTCGAGTTGGGCCAGATCGAGCACATTCGGGCGCCGAAACCAATCGGAAGCGCTGAGCTGCAGATCAGCGCCGCGCAGCGGCGCCAGCGCGCGGCCGCAGCCGGCGGGCGCAGGCGACACCATTGCACATCCTTCATCCACCCGCGCGCTGCGCCCACAAGCTCGACACGCGCGGCGGCGCAGCATTCCGATAACAAAGGAACAGAAGGAGGGCGCCGACGCGGGACGAGCCCTGCGAGGAGCCACCTTCCTGCGCACGGGCACCGGGGACACGGAAACCCAGAGGGCGTTCGTTAGCAAGCGCGCGTCATTCAGTGGACCAGTAGTGCGGGGAGCTCCAAGCAGATGCGCGAAGCATTTTCACTGCTGAGCCAACGGCCGCGACCACTCCGACAGATCACGGACTCGCCCTGGCCACCACGCCCCATGAAGTTCTCGAAAGATCTCGTGGCCCTGAGGTGGCACGTCGCCAACGAGATGGCCAGCTGCCACTCGCACTGCAAATTGAGCTCTGCCTCGGCGCGACGAGAGCGGTCGCGGCCGCCATGGCAACCAGACCTAGGCCTCCGGTAGAACATGCATTACTGCCGCAGGTGCTCTGGCTCCGCGGCCCCCTGAACTCGGACCAACTATGGGCTCCGAGCTGGGGGGGCACCCGCGACGTGATCGCGGATGGACTGACCCAGGGCAGCACAGATGATCTGCCTTCGGCGACGAGGCCGGCTGTCGTCAGCGGCCACGCGCACCGCGCATTGCCGCCCTCGCGCCGGCTGG